TCAATTGATAATGGATTCCAGATCTTTGGTGAGACATTAAATTTAATCGGTAAGATACCGTTAGAACAAAAACTAGATCCTTCTTGTAGAGAAGAATTGGTTTCTGAAATCATTAAATTGACAGATTTAGATAATATACCTGAAATAACTAATAAAGTTTCAAAAAGTTATTCAGAAAATTTACTGTTAGCATCATTGAAATTCATTAATGAATTTAACTCAAATATCGAAGATTGGGGTATAAATAAATTGAATTCATTCATGGGGATATTTTTATTTGATCAATATGTTGACTCAATTAAACATTTAGCAACATTTGTTGAGAAAGAAAAAAATAATTTAAATGAAGAGATTATAATAATTCTATTTGAAAATTGTATCACTTATTTATCAAAAATGAATTTCAAACAATTAGAAACTGTATTTGAAACTTTGACAGCTGTAACACCAAATGTATCATCTGAACTTTTATACAAACTTTCTTTATCAAAAAAATCACTATCACAGCAGTTTTTGGAAACTTTATTAACAAAAGGCTTAACAAATGCAAAAGATTCAAATATTTATGATAAGGAATTTTGGTCCCTAATCACACATATATTAGAATTGGATATTGAAGTGGGTATCAAACATTGTGAATTATTAATGGATTTAATATTTGACCAACACCAGGGCCATTATCAGCAGACTAATATAATTTGGAAAAAATTAATTACCTGTTATATTAATGCAAGAGAATTTACTAAATTCTTAGAACTATGGGAAAATTATTGTATCAAGAATGTCGCAAAGACCAATTTATTTTTAAAAGATGCGCATATGGCAGATTTTATTTCTAGAAACTTAGTGTCATTATCAGTAAGTCAATGGATACAATTATTGAGTTCAATGAAATCCAAAATTACTGATAGTGCTGCATCAGATTTAGAGATCTTAGTTCTTGAAGTGATTCTACAAGGTTTAAAACAATTATCCTTTTCAGTCCTACCACAATTGAAGGATACATTGAATTCAATTTATAATATTGAAGATACAAAATTCTCCATGTGGAGATCAAGGTATTTATTAATGGAAGTTTATGACAATGTTATCTCACAAGAACAATTAGATAACATATCCACTCAATCATTTCAAAAAGCAACCAAGAATGATGAAGTTTCCAGAGATTTATTTTATTATTATTTTAAATTACGAGAATATAAAGAATTTGATTTAGAACCTGTCATCAAACTGTTTATTTCCTATATTGGTGATAAAGAGCAGGATAGTATACGTGGCAGTATATTAAAAGACATATTTGTTAATTGGAGCTCCCTGATAAATAGCGAATTTGACAAAGAGTCATTAAAAACTTTAATCGATTATTTGATTGAGGATTCAAACATAGACATACTTGAAGTATTATTCAACAACGATGACTTTTTTGAAGAAAGCAATATCATCTTTCAACTTGTTTCAAAACTATCTGAAAAATTTGAAAATGACATCGCTGTGTTATACTTAAGTAATATTCCAATTCAATGTTTTAATAAGAATACTAGAATCGAATTAATAAATAAAATTAGTTCAAAAACTCACGCTACTTCAAATGATAAGAATATTATTCTCCACCTACTTCAATACCCAACTTTCAAATCAAGCATTGAACATGATATAAGTAAGTTGTACAATTTTTCATTTGTAAACTCAGAAGAATATCCAGTTAAAAATGATGTCTTTGAGAAGGTTTGGTCTAATCACTTATCACAAATTAAAGACGAATCAAGTTCTACCTTCATTAAGAATTCCATAAATTTCATTTTGCAAGGTGTTAATGAGAATGATAGATTTTTTACTATGACGTTTTTAATACTAATAAACTCACCAGAACAATTGGTGGATGAGCTGAAAACTGTATTCTTCAAGAGGGCAGCTCTAATTATTTCAGATACAGCAGATTTGAAATTGAAATCAAGTTTAATGAGATATATTTATTCTATTTTAAAAGTAGGACATTTTGAAATCGAAGAAACTGTTTCTAAATCCTTATTAAAGAATATCCAATCACTTCAAAATGCTGATATGGATAATATTGACCTACCATTGCTATCGAATTCATTTCTACTGTATTGCACTTTATATTCTGATAAAATTGAATGGTTATTTGCACATTATCTGGTAATGAGATCCTATGGGATAGAGTCAGACACAATATTACCGGGTGTTAAGTACGTTCTTTTAAAGCGTACTAAATCCAAAAATGATGAATTCAATTCATGCTTTACCAACGTTATAAGTTCATTAGCTTCGACCAAATCTGAATACACCGAAGGAGTTTTAGAACTATATAACACCCTAATTGCTGCCATCGATGTAGGAAATAGCGAAGCTTCAATTTTATTTGCTAAATCTATATCTGTATTTTTTACACAGATTGAAGAATACCTAGATTTTAGAAATGTTATTCTTCAAGTGCTAAATTCTATCCAAGAGCTCTTGATTGCAAAATCCTGGTTATTCAGTCAATACACTATCGAATTGTTATTTCCAATATGTATAAGGCTGAATCAAGCCTTTACTAAGGTTAAGGCAAATAACGACGACATTTACATTAGCACTAACAAGGTAATTTCTAATATCTTATTAGTTCATAGAATCAAGTTGTCAAACCGTAACCATTTATTAAACAACCTTTTCTGCTCTCAGTTGGAATTTTTATCAAGAGATATATCCAACGGACTTTCATTTGATTCTGCTAAGTCCCTTTCGAGAACTATCACAAATTATTGTGAGCCATCAAACATAGTTACTAAAAGCTCGACTAAAAATTCACTTGGATCTAATATTAGTTTAATAAAGAAGTCACTAAGAAAAGACATTCCAATTTTACTTGTGAAATTTATTCATTTGTCGATTACAAAGCCATTTGAAGTTAACATTAGAAAGGAATTAATTTCGTGCATATACTCAATATTTGATATCCTTTCGAGTAATGAACTGAATCTCGTAAATGCAATTCTGGACAATTCAGGTAGACAGTACTTCAAAACCCTTTACGCTGATTATAATAAGCTAGGAAAATGGCGTGAAGACTGAGCTTTCTCAAAGGCAAATAAAAAGCTTATATTGCATTTTATAGATTTGGGAATACATCCCAATTAAATATAATAATATTACATTAAATACACTGTATAATAAATAATATGTACGTAATACAAAATTTATCTTTAATTCAAGTATATGTAAAAATATTTATAGTGCTTTAGGTATATTTCACAGTTCAAAAACACTAAAAATCCTATTGTTTGAACAGCAGATTTGAAAAATGGGGTTCTTCGGAATCTTATCATTTTTACCTGAAGAAAATAGATAGTAATTTGGATGAAGTTCAATTGGTTCTATAGAAATAACTTCTTCTTCAATTTTGAACCTTTTAATCAGCTTTAATTCATTTTCAAAATTGACGTATATGTTAAGAGAATTCGAAAAATCAATAAGTGCATAATAAGTTCGACCATAACAATGAATTTTTGTTTCAAAAATTGAAGGCACTCTTCCCGCAAAAATATTATTTTCATATAGAGCATTTTCAATTCTATCAGGTATTCCTCCAGGATGGTTCTGCACTCTCTTCACTGAGACACATTTAACTATACCTAATAAGTCAAGTTCTTTGATAAGCCTTGAACTTGACAATTGGCCATTCCTATTGTATATTTCGCAATCACCGTAACTATTAAAAATACTAATAATTCCACTTTCAGAAACTGGAAACATGACAGGACCTGACAATTTTGACTTATGACATTCTGACTGAACTTCTTTCAAGCGAAAGTTATTATGATCATCAATATTTAATTTGAAGGCTATTATTTTAAAACCTATTCCAATTAAAACATTAGAATCAATGCAATATGATATATTATATATATGGGAAGGCAGCTTTGATAACGTTCTTATCTTTATACCTTGATTATCAACTTGAATGACGCTAATAAGTGGAGATTCGTTTTTGAAATGACATAATAGAAATACATTTTCATTATCTACTGCAGTTTCTGTATTTTCTGAGCTCCAGACAGGAATTAAGAAATTTATTACTTTCTGAGATCCTAATATTAGTTCTTTAATCACATTCATGTTAATAATATCAAATAATATCAACTTTACCGATTGAGTTGTACTTTCCCTTAATTGTACAACACTTTTATCTAAATATGCAGTTTTGAATATTTTTATTGGAATCCAACCTTCAAAATTATAGGGTGTCCTTACATATTTTGTACTATTCAAACAAAAGTCAGAAATGTTATAAACATGGATACTTTTCATATCGTTTAAACAATACATCTGACCTACTCCTATTGCTACCTTAATGTTATTTGAAGATATCCCAGGAGAAATGTGATAAGAAATCATTTTTGACATATCAATTATATATGTATTCGAATGACTGTTTAAAAGCACCAATCCAGAATCAGTACCTAGATCAATAATTCTATATGGATACTTTGATAATGAATTAAAATCTAGAAAGGAACGTTTCAATGTTGAAGAAAAAAATACAACATTTCCTTCGGAAGTTGAGATTACCAGTATGGTACGAATTATCTTTGAAATTTTATCTGTCATTGCTATTAATTTAATTTCAAATATGTCAAAGGAAGTAGAAAAATCTTCTTGTACAATTTGTTCTCCATTTTTAAACACGCTAACCACGTTGTCCTCTAGAACAGCATACCACAAATCATCATTGTGAAACACTCCAGTTATCGTAATTATCGAACCTTCATGAAACCGATTGTAGACCTCAGACTTTATTATCTTATACTTGTTAATATCATATTTCCGGAGTTCTAAAATTCCATTGCTCAATAAAGTTAAGAAATATTTAGAGGATGTATTCCTAATTGAAATATTGGTGTATGCAATAATATCGGATGAATCTTTAATAAGTGCAGCACCTTTATGACTAAAACCTAATAATTCTTTTTGGTTGTTATTAAATATCCCATCCTCAGCCAGATAACCTGATTTATATCCAAAAATAACACCTTTCTTTGTAATCCAAAAATCTCTAATCGGTTCTAATGAATATGGTGACGTGATAACATCAAAAGGTTTTGGCAAACAAGAAGGTGTCAGTTCTGTCTTCTCTATAAAACCCAAATTATTTGTAAAAGAGCCACATGATATTAACCATTGAATTGCTGAAATTTTATCAATATAAAACGTTTTAGAGTCAAAATAATTTGCCCTTTTGAACTCAATTCCATGAAAATATTTGATAGAATGCTTATTCACGTCATATTCAATTATTCCACTACTTGCTGTCACAATTATATACTTTTTATTGTGTAACTTCTGAACAATCAACGTACTATCATTTGGATAATTTTTCCCTATATATGTATCAAATACACTCCAAGGAACAATATTTTCATTTGATCCCTGAATATTAAGTGTCGTTTGATAAAGTTTTCCATTTTCAGAGAATACATTCAAGGAAAAAAGCGTCTTTCCCTGCGAATAGATTTGTAAATTATCACATAGTTTACATGCATTATCTATACCCTTTGTTTCCCACCTTTTGCACGTCGTGCTTGAAATAGTCCATATATTTTCACTATTAACAAGAACTAACACTTTATCATTTAGTTTGTTAAATAAAAGATTTTTCAAATTACAGGATGGTACTTCAAACCTTCGTATACTTCCATATTTGAAATCTATCTCTTCCATTCTTGATATGTCAACAAATAAACTTTGTGTATATTTGTTGATAAATATACAAACTAACAAGTTGCAATTGGTCTTGCCGCCGGTTACTTTTAAGAAATTAAAATAAACCAAGTGGCCCATAGTCAATTCAAAAATACAATCATATCTCATTTCTTCAATATTTATGATAGTATAAATGGAATGTTCATCAGGTGAAAAGAACAAGTTACTTCCATTGCTTACAATCAAAGTTGGATGAAACCTAATTTCATTTTTCATAGTCGATTGTAATGTAAATTCAGAAAATGATATCTTATCACCTGTTAAAACTTTTAACTTCTTAATTGAACCATTTTCTAAGAATAGCAAATGATATCCTTCAAAATAATAAACTGATCTAATCGAATTATGTACAGGAATTTTGAATATGCTTTTTCTGTTCAGACAAATATGTATACAGTTGTTACAATATACATACAAGAACCTGTTATTTCCATCATAATAAAATCCTAGTATCTTCTTCACCTCTGTAGGATTATATTCCTCAATTGAGAGGTTTCTATTGCATTTTGAATAGTCAACAATATCCCAAACTTTTAAACTATTTTGTTTAGAGGTGTTGAAATAGCTCTTCATTCCATTCCTCAACAACCGTATTTAGATGTTTAACTAATGAAATCAATAAACCGATGAAAATTGCCTTGATTGATCCTATCCTATCGATTTAATTAATGATCATGGAAGTTTCTTGATGAGATGACATCTTTAAATAGTTTTAAATGCTTATTGATTTAGAGATGTATTAAACCTTTGATCTCAGTTTAGTTACCCTCTTTTAAATTAATTTAAAAATAATCTCGCTACCAGATATTGTTTTCAAGATGTAACAAGACTCAATTTTTAGCCTCAAACCACTGACACTTAACAATATATAGCCATTAATTATTCTCATTTACCTACTTATTAATATCTATCATTTACCAACAGATTATATATCATCGACTCTCCTAATTCACAATTCTTCAATTAACTTTATTGTCCTTTAATTGATCTTCAGAAAACAATTGTGACATAAATGTCGAATATTATCATTAATTATTAATGTACTTTATTAACTAATATTGTATTAGTCTTAGAACATAGGAATATATGATTAATGCTATAAATCATTGATAAATTTCTGCTTGGTTCTCATGTCCAATAATAAAATTTCATCAGAATTGGATTCATAACCGATATCCTGCATTATACCGTCCATTTCTGTTCTTATGAATTCATTAGTTTCTTCATCAAATATGCTAAAGTCAGAGAACTTCCTAATCAAAAATATCCCACCACATATGGTACTTATGAGGAATAGATCAGAATATTTTCCATCCTTCATGATTGTCTTGTTATTGCCATTGGCGGACTTTCTGTAATCATCCAATGCTTTGACACTGATTATTGTATATGGTAATCTAACTTTGATGTTGGCAATCTCATTGTTGTCCAGAACCAGAGATACTAAAAGTATGTTAGGTGACAAAACACCTATAAATATAACAGTACCATTATCGATAAAGGATGTCGCTGACATTAAAAGGGTATTTTTTTCCGCTGTAGAAATAGGATTCAGTTTTGAAGATCCAATAATTGGTTTTATAACATACGTATTATCAGACCTCTTAATTATTATGTTCTCTTTTACTCCCTCAAAAGGAGAGCATGAAAACAGCAAATTATGAGATATGTTTGATATTGAATGTTCTTCAATATTTGATTTGATTTTAGAACCTGGAATATATGTCATATTCGTAATAAAAGCATTTGGATATAGAGAATTTGATCTTAAAGTGATCTTAAAGGCATTGTCTTTAACTAAGTAATCAATGTCATATACTTGCAATGTTTCTCCTCCAACTAAGAGAGAATTATTTATATAATTCTTCAGCGACGTGATATTAAAGGAAGTAGACATAGAAGTATGAAGATCAATTGTCAAATTCTTCTCATCTAAAGAAAATAGTAGAAAATTTGGCATACTCTCATCATCTACTGATTCTAAGTCTAAAGAAACGACAAAACATTTGCTCAACATCAACTGCTTAGCGTATGATAATCGGACAGCCGTTGTCTCATCATCTGGGTCAAATGGTACTGCTGTGATATCTGATATTTTAGTATAAGGAAACTTTTTTGAAATATCAAAACGATCCTCCACCTTTAATGTGTCATTATCAATTAAAAGCAATTCATAATATACTTGTTCCTTCTCAAGAGTTTTGTTAAATTCATTTTTTATACCACAACAAATCGAATATTTCAACGAAGAAGGAAGTGTTATAAATTTGATAAAATCATGCGTTTTAGAATAATTTTTTTTGTTTACTGTAGTTGGCATACACTTTTCAGCTGTATTAAAAATATTCTTCAACTTAAATATGTTACCCTTTGGAGTTTCCAGAAACATTTCACCACTGACACCCAAAGTGACTTTATCAAAGCTAACAGGTGTATGAACTTTGTGAATTTCAAACTCATCCGATTTTTTTCTCATCATGACGCAGATATCATCACTATATCCTAATATATTGCTATTACAGTTTAGCAGTAACAACTTTAACTTATTGTTGGTAAGTTTCAAAACCGTATCTATATATTGATTTTGGTCCTTAATGTGTCGTATCTGTAGATTCCCAAATATATCTGATATTAAAAGTTGCAATTCATGGTCTTTATCTCGAAGGATAATAATATCTGAGATAATATTTTTCACTGACGTTCTAAGAAATTCAATTTCAAAATTTTTCACTATCAAAATATTATTCTCATATGCAATCACAACATATATATTGCTATCAATCATCTTAGCAAATAAAATAAATTTGACAAATTTGTATTCACCGTCTATATCTAATTTCAACGATTTTTTTGAATTTCCACCTAGTTTTAAAACTCCATTTATATCAATATATGCATAATCCATACTGTTTTCAATTCCACATATTTCCAATATAATATCATTATTATACTTTCTTGTAATGAACTTTTCATCTTTGGTTACATAAATCACATCCTCATTTTTCATTATAATTTTTCCATTATTGCGAAGATTTAAAGTTTCATCTAAGTAATAAACCCCATGATTGGTATCCCAGAAACGTTTGACATTTGCAGTGGTCAATATAGGTTCTATATTAGAAAATAAGTCATTAAACCCAGTGTATTCTATTTCGATGATTCCCTCATTCGATCCAGTTCCGCCACAAGACATCTGCACTTTTGAGTTGTAACCAATTAATTGGGCGTCAAATATACAATATTTATTATCCAAATATGATCTTAGCCTTGAAACTTGTGATAAGGAAAATAGGTCGAATAAGATTAAATCATAATCTTCATTAACTAGGAAACAAAATTTCATTATTAAAGAGTCAATAGGTACCATAGAAATAAATTTAGAATCTAGCTTCTTCGACTCCACTTGCAATGAACTCCAATGGAAACTATATATATCTCCATCTTCATATATTAAATTCATCGTTAAATCCCAGATTTCCATTTTATCAGTGATAAATCTAAAAAATATCTTTTCAGAGTCTTTGAAAGCAACAATATTAGGAACAATATTACCATCCTGTTGTATATGAAACAATGGATTGCTTTCTAATGATTTTCCATCTACTACATGTTGTATGCCAATAAGATGTTCTATGATAAAAATTGAGGAATTTGATATAATACAAATTGCAAAACCTGGAATAACCTTTAAAATGGGATTCCTTGAATCAAATTTCAAATTGTTCTGGTTTACAATTACATCGTATAACAATGATTTTGCCTTATTTAAAATTTTAATATTAATCAATCCAAAGCTTTTAATGAATTCCGATTCATTACAAGTTAAAATTGTCAGTGAGAAATATTCCTTTTCAACCGTGTAGTCAATTTCTAAAGAAGATTCAAATTGATAAATCTTATCCTTAGATTCATAAAAACATGCTAATTCATCAATATTCTTATTTCTTTTAAAAGTTATAGAATCTTTTGTTTGATCCAATTCAATGACATAAATTCTATACTCTGATAAGTTAATGTACAATCTATTCAACTTATAATCAATACCCAAAAATAAATTGAATTGAGAAAGATCTATTGATTTATACCCAGTGTCCAAGGAATCAATCAACTTAAATTCTGAATCCCAGATCTCTAAATTCCCAACCTCTTTGACAAGGATTAAGTAATCCTTTGCATTTAATAAATCTTGAAATTGGAAAGCAGCAACAATATAACCAGATATTCGTTTTTCAGTAATTTTTGAAGTTTCATTTAAAGTTGCATTGAATTTAAATTTAAGCAACGATGCATTTTCCACAATTATTAACGTATTATCTTTAACCTTAAAGCTATTAACGAACTTGTTTGAGCCCTTTAATTGTGATAACAAAAGATTCAAAGTCATACCATGAATGCTTCAATTATGAACATCCAAGTACCAGCAACGATACTCACACCTAATAATTGATTGAGTATATACAATACAAATACCTTTGCAAAAGAAGATTTCCTGAATCTACTAGAGGTTACTATTATTATTAACCTTATTGTACCTTCAAAATTTTTCTTTAAATAGGAAAAAAAAAACAATGTACAATTGAGAGGACTACCAGCAAACAATAGGAATTGAATCATCACAAACCAATTCAATGGAGAGAGATTGCATCACTAAATCAAAAGTGAAACAACTCAATTATCACTTATAAAGCCTATCTACATATTCAAGAGACACTAAATAACAAACAGACATTACATATTGAAATTAACAGTAGCACAACGTAATGAAACTGCTAAATGTTGTGTTGTGTATAATCTTAAGTCATATTTATATAGTCCCTTCCATGATACAAATATATACTTTCCCTTTTTCTCTCCACTTCTCACTCCTCTGAACCTATAAATCGAATATGACTTGTTCCCAATCACTATCCTTAAGTTTATGGTAAGGTAGTCACCTATCTTCTAAACTAATAATTTTGTTTTTATCAAGATCTTGATCTGATCTGATATCTTTACCTAATTTGAACCAAGGAAACGAAAAAAAACTTCGAAATCGAAATGGCAAGTGATGAAAAGACCATTTGCTATTTCGATTTCGAAGCTCTGGTAATTAAGTAAGTGAAACTTGGACTTGTGGATTTGATCTTGTGTGTCAAGAAGGAGTTGTGATCTGTGAATGACGGGTGAACTTCAATTCGACTTAGGTTGTAGACTCAGATTTATATTTTAATAATTTTTTTTTTGATATATATATATTTGACAATGGCTATTCAATTCATCATATGTCTTAACAAACAGGGTACTGTCAGATTAGTAAGATGGTACGAACAATTGGATTCAAATGAGGATACTCAACGTTATATTTCTAATATGTACAGATTGATTTCTGCTAGAGATCATAAGAATCAAAGCAATTTTATTGAATCCTTCACAGATAAGACTAAATTGGTTTATAAGCGATATGCTGGATTATATTTTATTATGGGAATAGATTTAGCAGACGAAGAGTCTATATATCTTTCTAATATACATCTTTTCGTCGAAGTTTTAGATTCATTTTTTGGTAACGTTTGTGAATTAGATATCGTTTTCAATTTTTACAAAGCTTACATGGTAATGGATGAAATGTTTATTGGAGGAGAATTGCAGGAAATGTCAAAAGATGTATTATTGGAACGATTAGGCAATATGGATAGATTAGATTAAGGTGTGATCCTAAATTCTTTGGAGGGCTAGATCCAGCAAAGGAAACTCTCCTTTCCCCCTGGTAACTGCGCGATTTGAATTTAAAAGATAAGATCACAAATGTTGCATTTCGAAATTACCAATACTTACTAGATAGTCTTAGTATGACAATAATGAAAATGATGTTCCAGCCGCAGACACATTGAGGTGGCACATCAAATAAATATAAGGTGGAATTACATTCTTTATGAAATTTTCAAAAAAAAGAAATAAAATATTATAAAATAGAACAAATACTCCACTTAATGATTAGAACCTAATATTGACTTTAGCCAAATCTATTTTAATTCTCCATTATTGAACGTTCTAGACATTAATTCAATATATTATTGGATATATATTCGATTGCATATAATCGTTTTTTAATCACTATATGCTGGCGCAAGATAATCACTAATTGTCAGCTTTTGCAATGTTGTCAACCAGCTAGAAAACAATGATACTTGATTCTAAAGATATAATATCATAGGAAATTGCATAGCCATAGCGATGAGTATACGATTCGAACCAACCAAGCCGCATTTATTATTTAATTTTGATCGATTATGACTTTATTGCCATCATTAATTAGAATACCAGGCAATTATAATATCTCGATAATAGTTTAATCTGACCCTCAATGTATCACTTGTTGCAAAGATTTTACATTTTGAGGATTGTATTTGGATAATGCAACTGACAATAAATGTTACTTATTTTTATAATCGTCTTCAAAAATCACACTATGCTGCAACTACCATCAAATACAAACAATATAACACCGAATAATAGTAGGACTGACCTAGCATTCAATTTGAAAGGTGATAGTTTCAAATATCAAGATTATGAGGAATTTGAATTTCAGTAGGTGATATTAGGAGTGAATAGTCTCCTATAATAGTTATATCGTTATAAGTCAATTCTTCAGAATGGAAGAAACATATTGGTACCTTGTTCTGCATTTTTATTTATTGAAACTAGAATACATGCAATTCGCAATTGATACTTTTTTAAGATGAATAGTGGCATTATTATTGACCTCTTTTTCTGTTATAGTCAACTCTATTTATCTTTATGATTGCAAGCTAATTCTCGAGTAATCAGCATTCTCCATTTGTTTTGATAGTTTTATGGATGATTTAGTTTCTTTATAAAATAATTGACGATCTATTGTACATTAATATGTTGCTTCTCTTGTTAGAAATATACTTTCACTGTATGACAAAAGTGCATATTATGATATTATTTGTTCTGATAATTAATATGCAGGTTGCCATTATAACTGGTCTAACTATATGACATAATATCATACAATGATAAAATTTACAAATTAATTTAATCGTCTCTAGTTTACGAATAATGAAAGTATAATGTGAAGTATACGTTTTTTATTAGACCGTCTCGATCTCTTGAAGCAAGGAAGGATAATTCTTGAAATTACAATGAAGTTGCAATTGAAGTTTCTGCGTTGACAATTGAGTTTATATTTTAGACTTTTGTAGTTTTTATATTTAACAATAAATGCTCAACATATTTAATAATCATCGTTTTTACAGGTTAAATAATCAACCTGCATCTCATAAACTTGAGCTGGTATTAATATATAGTGTATATTTATTCAAGAAAGGATACACGCCAGAGTGTTTAATTACTGTGTTACGGCAATTTCATGTTTACTAATATAATCGAGAGATAGACTTAGGCATTATACAATTTGTTAATATACTTTTTCCATTTTCAATGCTAAAAATGTATTGTTTGGTCCGGAATATTAATTATTAATGTATTAAGTATTTATCTAGGGAAACAAGCCGTAGAAGTCAATACTTAAGGTTACTAGTTATAAGCTCTATGAGGTTAATTAACTATTATAATAACTATACAGTAGTATTAAATATATAAAGATCTCTATGGTCTTCTGTTTAATAACAAAAGTGTATATCTTTTACTCCAGGAACTATGTCCCTTATATACGTTGTATTCGCGTTCTATTAGTGACATTCTTATCATGAAACATGACAAAGTCCTCTGTCCTTATTTTATCATTTTGTACTTAAGCGTAATCAATACACAATACAAAAAGATGTATTGTTTGATCCGGAATATTGAATATCAATGTATTAAGTATTTATCTAGGGAAACAAGCCGTAGAAGTAAATACTTAAGGTTACTAGTTATAAGCTCTATGAGGTTAATTAACTATTATAATAACTATACAGTAGTATTAAATATATAAAGATTTCTATGGTCTTCTGTTTAATAACAAAAGTGTATATCTTTACTTCAGGAACTATGCCCTTTATATACGTCATGTCAGTTATCTATTAGCGTCATTCCTTTTAACAATCATGACAGATCCTCTTTCCTTATTCCTGTCATCTTGTACTAACGTGGAATCAATACAAAGATCATCTTACCATAAAAACAATTACAACAAAAGTTTAAGCTTCAACTACACAAGTTACTAAGCGGATTTAGCTCAGTTGGGAGAGCGCCAGACTGAAGAATTAACTTCGGTCAAATCATCTGTTATCTGGAGGTCCTGTGTTCGATCCACAGAATTCGCATTTATTTTTATTTTTTTTCGATATTCAATTTTTTCCACAATTTTCAAAAATACATATAACAAATTAATAAAGTTCTATTAATAAACTGAATAAAAATAGTGAGAAATTACTGCGAAAGTATGCAACTAGAATTAAGTTCCTATCCAAGATCCTGCATTCTGAAGAGTTGATTCAACTCTCTACTTTATATCATCTACAAATCTGCATATCTAAAACTTCAAGATTTACACAACAACAATTCTTATCGACACCCTGATTTGTTTTCGTATATTGGTTGATTGAAGTAAAATAGTATTATTTTTTCCAACCAATTCCCCTCCCCCCTCTCCCAACTAAGCACTACTTACAAAAAGAATACTGGGTGCATCAGAAAATAAATTAGAATAAAATCAGAGTTAAATAGATAGCATCTATTAAAATACCCAGATCTAAGACCTTGGTTATCTAATTAAGATTTTTTATCTTATTTATTAATTTTTTTGGATAACCCTCATTTCGTAGAAGGAAGGAAGAGTTCAATTAGTAAATTGCACAGCAAACTGCTGTAGGAATTTCATTTATTTATTTATCATATGAATATTATATTATATCACATCATATCATATCATACTACGATAAGAAAACATGGTTAAAGTTGAATCAACAGAAGCACATCTCGAGAACGGCGCAAGGCCATACCCTACTTACATAGATGATCCAGAAGATGAACCTAATGGTAAAAAAAGGAAATTACAATTGAAGTACATCAGCAACAAATCTAGACGACAAGTAACCTTTTCCAAAAGACGAATAGGATTAATGAAGAAATGCTATGAACTTTCAGTAATGACAGGAGTAAATATGTTACTTTTAGTAGCATCAACTGATTCAAAATTAGTATACACATTTTCCACACCCAAGCTGCGACGGTTCATCGAGGAAAATGAGGGTAAAAGTTTAGTTCGCAATTGTTTGAAAAAAGAAGACAGCTAAAATGAGAGATTCGATTGTAACAACTCCTCAATATATCCATTTTTAAGTAAATGAATAAACAAATATATAAATATTATACTTAAAATGAAATCCCTGCATCTAATAGAGAAAGTTTCACCACCACATTGTATTTCCAACAAAATTACGTATCACATAACAACATAATATAAATAATTAGGCTATTATTAAGATAACTCTTGAATTGAATGAATCATCTCATCTCATCTCATCTCATCTTGTCTCGTCTCGTCTCGTCTCGTCTCGTCTCGTCTCTTAGCTCAACTCAATTCAACTCATCTCATTTCAACTCATCTCATTTCATCTGTTATAGGACACCATTACGTCATGACTTGATCTTGATCTGTTATTTTTTCTTTTAGTTGAATGGATGTGCCTCGACTTCTGAGCGAGAAAGTGAAAAAAAAAATTAGATAAGGTAAAAACTCAAAATTTTCTTAGAAACCTCTGTACAGAGGGACACACGAAATATCGAAAAAACTTGATGTAGAGAGAGTGAGAGATGTTCAAGTTCAACCAACTGAATCTATAACCTAAGAAGCCAATTCATCCAAGTAAATTGGGCGGGAGGGGGGGCTCGAGACTTGAGTTGAGGATAGTTCACACTTTGCTGGGAAAGTGGGATCTGACACCTGTGGGTTGAAACGAGGTGAAACGAAAAGAGTTGAGTTTAGTTCAGTTGAGCTGAATCGAATTCAATCGAGTTGGAATTTTGATCAGATTAGATAGTTAACACCACTTAAAGTTCATTTGCTTTTGAGCCAGTTTTCTCTTTCTTGACGGTAACTTTAAATTAGACAGAGAGAGAGATATATACCGAGAAACTTCATAGATGCTCACACGTATGCAATAACTTTGGATGCAATCGGTTCTCAGTGATGGTGGACAGTTTTGTGAGTCAAGGAAGTACAGTTAGTTCTCCTCGATCTTTAGTAGTTAGGCTAGTTAGGTGCACGAGAAAGTTGAAGTGAGTATTATGAAACTTAGAAAGAACGAAGGGAAGGAAGGGAAAGGAAGAGAAAGGAAGAGAGTTGATAGCTCATCAGTTGGGAATAAAGACGTTAGTCAGTAAAAAAAATAGTAGGGATGTAGGATCCCGTCTTTCAAACCCGAAATTTATTACAATTCGGTCAGGTAGTTTGTTCAATAAGTTTATTGTGATACTATTATTGAACTAGATTGCTTTTCATCTCTTCCATAATAAAATTTTAATATCTCTTGTTCTACAGTTTCTTAATAATTATATTTTTATAATAAATTTATTATATTTCCTCAGTTTTAGGTCAAAATGATATTAACTGTAACCAGATAATTCCACCTAGGGGACTCCTTGTAGTAAAGAGAGAATTTCTAGTGTAATTTAAATATTTTATTATGAGGCGTACACAATTTTTAGAAATTCTTTCTCTATAGATATACAATTGCTGTTGTTGCTGTTGCAATTGCTCTCTCTCTGTATTTTTTTTTTACCTGCTTGTCCCATAGCTGCTGCTGCTGCTGCTGCATATTGAATTGTAATTAGTATTCCTTTTATTATTATATTATGGTTTCGTAACCCAACTATTTTTCCTTAGTTAATTCGTTAGCTATATCGTCAATAAACTTTTGGTGTGCGTGTGTATGCTATTTATTTTCTGTCTATCTAACCATCTATCAATCTATCTATCTATCGATGTAATTAATTATTTATTCATTCATTTTTTTTAAACCTCTACTAGCTATCTTGATAAAGTTTCAATTTTCTAATAGTGTAGAGCATATACTCTTCTTGAAGAAATAAGACCTTTTTAAGAAGTCATTGATTGTTATTTAGAATTTCTATTAAAGGGGAATATTTTATGCTCTTTAAACCAGATCAGAATATTGTCATTGATTTTTGAACAGGGACCACATCCACTTCCTATAGTTATAACTAAAGCACTTCTTTTTTCTTTTGGATTTCGAAGAGACATACTTCTACGTTGATAGTAAATATTATCAATTAAACCATAGTCAAAGACATATATCTTTAGATACTAACTACTTTAGAGATCCTGCAAATATGGGTGATTCTAATGATAGTGGAGATGAAAACACTACAGTGAACTCAAATGATGGATCAACAAAGGAGAGAAGAAAGATTGAAATCAAATTTATTGAAAACAAAACGAGACGTCATGTTACTTTCTCGAAACGGAAACACGGTATTATGAAGAAAGCTTTTGAATTATCAGTTCTTACTGGTACCCAAGTTTTGTTATTGGTAGTTTCTGAGACTGGATTAGTATACACATTTAGTACACCAAAATTCGAGCCAATTGTTACTCAACAAGAAGGTAGAAATTTAATTCAAGCATGTCTAAATGCTCCAGATGAGGAAGAAGAAGAAGAAGAAAATGATCATCAACATATTAACGCAAGCAATACAAATAATAACAACAGCGATAATATCTCAACAAATAATAACGAAAATGTTAATAGCAATCCAAATAATGCAGGTTCATTAATTCAACAGCAGGGGCATCTTCAATCAAATCAATTAATACCAAATATAAAGCAAGATAATGATATTGATTCTCGTAATATACCTAACAATGGTCAATATAACCACAATCAAATGGTCAATCCACACATGCAACCTAATCTACAATCCCAACAAAATGGTCCAAATTCTGGTTTAATCCCAACTCAAGGTATGCAGCCACAACCACAACATGGTAACACAATCAATGTTCCTCCAAACGTTCAAGCTTCATATAACGCTTCACCATCATATTTTAACAATGAGCAAAATGCAGTTTATCAACAATATTTCCAAGAATCTCATCAGGGTCAATATTAGAATTTCAAAGTACCCCCCCCCTTCCATACCTCACAAATAATAATATATACATATATATTATTATTATCCCAATATATATTTATATAAATAAAATAATGAATGTATAGGCACAAATGTGATCTCTATTGCAAAACTATGATATTGGCATCATAAACTTCCATTCTGTTTGGGATCCAGTCTCCAATTTCAATTTATAATGAAATATAAAACTCTATTTTTTACATTTATATATCTTCTAAATAACAATATATATAGAGGGAGAGAGTTGTAAATTTATATTATTGCATGACAGTGCCCTTACTGCCTAATATAAAATCGAAGCTAACTGCAAACTCCACTTTTGCAATCTACAGTTGCAAATAAAAGTTACTCTCTGTAGCTGATACTGAAATTGAAACTGACACTGACACTGACACTTGTCTTCTGTTCAAATTAAAAATATAGTTCTTATTATTATCCTTTGATCTCAACTTTATCATTATAGCGACGCCATTATTACTATAATTGGATGTTCTAAAGGATGACTAACCGGTCACGTGAACAATGCGTGCTGTATCGATATATCACGTGTACATAATCACGTGATACACATGGCTTCCCATTTTCATATGCCTCTTTTCAATTTTGGTTTGAAGAATTCCTTTATGGAAATTTCGAAATTCATAGACGATATAGAATTATGATGAACAAGCTAACTCATCTATCAAACATATTTAAAATTAAGATGTGCTTAATTTATGTTTCAACTATCAATTGGATAGACTTGAGGGTAATTCTTTTTATACTGGATTTTGAGGGTTTCCCGATTGATATTCCTATAGATTTTAAAGCAATACTGTTATATTTGCGATCAGTCTTCTAGGCTTGAAAAGAAACTGAAACAAGGCAGAGTAACGACTAGAAAATAAAGATCAAACGATGACTAGCGAAGTTATTTATCAGCCAACCGATTTGGTTCTTGCAAAGGTTAAAGGGTTTCCAGCTTGGCCTGCATTGATAATTCCTGTTGAAATAATTCCTGATAACGTTTTGAAGGATAAATTCAAAGGTCCTCATGGTAGTAAAGCAAAACAAATTGATCAGGATAAGGTCGATGAAAATGAAGATGATAGTTTGGAAAACGACGAAGATGAAGTTTCTGAAGAGATTGATGACAATAATAGTGATAAATTCATAATTTATTCAGATATGTTAAAGTTTCGTAAAAATGATGTTATCAAATCTCATTATTGTGTGAAATTTTTATGTGATGATTCTTATATTTGGGTTAAACCAAGTGATATACAGCCGTTATCTGTAGAAGAGTGTAAAGGCTGGCTGAAAACAGCTAATAAAAAGAAAGTTAATAAGAAATTAATTCCAGCATATGAAATGGCTAGTAAAGGTTCGAATGGAATCGATATATGGGACTTTGTAGAATATGGTTCCTACGGTAAGCCCGATGAAGAGGAATATGTCGAAGATGATTATGAAGATGAAGAAACAAACACCAAGACTCGCAAGAGGTCCAGCAGAAAGGCAGAAGCTCCTACCAGAACATCTGCAAGACAATCTGAGAAAAGAAAAAGAGAAGAAGAGAAGATGCCAAAAAGAAGCACTAGAGCTACAAGATCCAAAAGGACAAAAGTAAAAGAGTTAGCCGATGATCAATTGTCTGAAATAGAAGCAGAAGAAGAAGAAAATAGTTTTATCGAAGAAGAGAAAATTACAACACAAAAAACTACATCTAGAAAAGGAAAAGCGAAGTCAAAAGGTAAACCTTCAACAAAAGCTACTAAATCAATTACTACTATTCCGAAGATAGAGAAATATCAATACGAAGATGATGTGGATTGGAATGTTGTTGGTTTAGGTCCGCAAGATCTATCTCTGAAGTCACACACTAACAGGCTAGTTAATAAATTGGCACAGAAGAAAAACCAAGAAACTCATTCCGAGACTAAACTGGATATTATGGATAAACTAACAGGAGTGAATAAATTAATAGTCGATCTTTTGATCCCAGATCCTAACAATTTAGATAAAGGTAGTTCTGACATCAAAGAAGACTATGAAGTTGTTTTGGACGAATTAGAATTGGCTCTACAGTATAATGGTTCCAATGATGAATTCATTACCATCTTTCAGTCAAATTCCGAATTATTAATAAATTTCCGAATTATGATAAATTTGAAGTATTCTTTGTTAAAGGAATGGAATATCCTCGACGGCTTTCAATCTCTTTTTAGCGAGATATACCAATCAGAACTAATTCCAGATGAATCAAAATGGTCAATTAAAGCTATTGAAGAACCTGAAAAAAATAGCAATGAGGAAAAACAATCTGAATAAACTGCATGTAATTATTATTAATGGGCTTTTGCATTTTAAGTAGCATTTTCAATTCCATATTGTGATTAAAGCTAGAGGATTTTCCCTCAGTTGTATTATATTAAATTTGTTTTATTAACTACATCAGTAAATTATTTATGTACAATTAGGATGAAATAAATGACTATTAAAGAATTATATATAAAAATGAATAAGAGATATGATGCAAGTTAAGCGTCATTGAATTACTTCAACACGACACAAATATTTTTATTTACATTTACATATAAAAATATAAATACAAACAGTCGAATAGAGCTATAATCAATCCCAGTCAGTTTTTTGAAAACTGCTATAATTGATTGAAGACCAAATTCATAATAGATTGTATTGTTTTGATTAAAATATCAAACGTTATGCAGGTATCCAAGAAATCTCCTTCAAAATTTCCTGAATTGAATTTTTAAGTAAATCAGGTTATCGAGTAATCCAATGAATTCGCATAACATCTCTTTAAAACTATATTTAGTTTCGTACAGGGGAACCAGTTATAAAAACATAGTTACCTGTTACAGAGTCATAACTGACAAATTCAGTTCCTTCTTTATTGGACAATTGTTCAATATGTCTCTTCAACAATGGGTGTGATTCATCTTTAATAGGTTGTCTGGTAGATTTATCAACTGGATAACACTTGTATAAAGTAATTCTTGCACGGACATTAATGCCCTCCCCTTCCTTAGGTTTGTAAGAAGATGTTGGATATAAAGCACAATTTTTATTCTCAAACACAACTATATTGCCACAGAGAGAAGCTAATGAGACATTTGAAAGATCAACAGTTTCTAAGAAATCAATTTTACCGAAATCTCTGTGACCGATAGTTAATCCATTTACTTTTCTTAGCTTTATCAAACCTACGGAACTCAATGTTTCCAATGAAGGGGAAATATAGTAATTATCGTCAGTAAATGTGATATCATCGTTAATTATTCCATATTGTTTTGTTAACTTCATTAATTGAGCTTCTTTTTCTTTTACAATACTATCAGTCTCATTATCGGTAGTCATTTTATCATCAAAACCAATTGCTTTTATAGATTCGGCTGATTGCGGGATTGCAGATTGGCTAGTAATGTTACTAACTTCGATACTAGATTCAGCTTCTTGTTCGTTAACAGACTTTTTTTGTTTTTCGATGAGCGTTTTAAAACTCATTTTATCAGGATTAAATAATAACTTTGCTGAACTTTGAAACATATCATCTGTTTCGCAAATGAAAGCTCCTGAACCATCCAAAGTAGAACTCTCATTAGAATCTAACAATGATTGTTCCTGATTGGCCGTGCTAACTGTTAATGAATTAGAAGTTAATGACTTCACGGAAAATAGAGGCTTTGGAATAGATCTGTACGCGGATGTCAAACTTGCTCCCATCTTAACATCTGCATTAATTTTTGTAGCGCTAGGTTTACTAACTTGTGTAATTGAACTTGGTACGGAAACTCTAGTGAATAAATCAGTTATACCGTAAGCGTTTGAGCCCTGTTGAGGCTGAGATGATGATTGTCCAAATGCTAACTGCTGATTTTGTTGATTTGATGCTTGTGAATTATTCATAGAACCAAATAGCCCTCCAGTGGTGGCCTTTGGTGCCATAGTATTGAATCCAGTTGTGGTGTTGTTACTGAACAGACCTCCAGTTGTATTACCTGTACCCATAGTAGTTCCCGTAGGTTTGGATCCAAATAGACCACCATTTCCAGCAGTTGATGAACCTGTAGTGTTGTTGCCAAATAATGAAGTACCAGCGCTTTCAGGTTTTGGAGCAGAACCAAATAACCCTCCACTATTTGTAGAAGTTGAAGTATTAGCATTTGAACCAAATAATCCTGTGTTAGTTGTAGTTGTTGCAGCGTTATTGCTCCCAAATAATCCTCCATTTCCTAGAGAACCAGTTTTGTTGGCTGTATTATTATTAGAACCAAGGAAAAGTCCAGGTGCCGCTGTATTTGCAGTATTGTTTGTCTGATTCAATGTATTTGTAGTTCCAAATGAACCACCAGTTTGTAAACCAGCAGGTTTTGATCCGAACAAACCGCCAGTGGATTGTTGTTGAGTGTTAGAATTGTTACCGAATAAACCACCAGCTGAAGGTTGTTGTTGATTTATATTATTATTATTTGTATTGGCGCCAAATAATCCACCAGGTTGAGTTTGTTGGTTATTACCAAATGGAGAGTTCAAAGTAGTAGCTGGCTTTGCACCAAAAAGACCACCAGTAGGTTGCTGGTTCGAATTGTTCTGACCAAACATACCTCCGGGTTGTTGATTTGTGTTAGACTGACCGAATAACCCACCAGTAGTCTGTTGGTTGGTGTTATTTTGGCCAAACAATCCAGCTGGTTGTTGATTAGTACTTTGACCAAACATGCCACCGCTAGATTGCTGGTTTGCGTTACTTTGGCCGAAAATACCACCACTATTAGTTTGTTGGGCGTTAGAGCCAAACGGGGAGGCATTGGTATTGGCTTGACCAAACATTGGTTTTGATTGATTCATATTATTCATTGAGTTTTGCCCAAAGAACCCACCAGGCTTCTGTTGCTCATTTGTTTTACCAAAAATACCACCGCCAGGTTGTTGGTTTGTATTATTTTGGCCAAACATACCACCAGTAGGTTGCTGGTTCGAATTGTTCTGACCAAACATACCTCCAGGTTGTTGATTTGTGTTAGACTGTCCGAATAACCCACCAGTAGTCTGTTGGTTGGTGTTATTTTGGCCAAACAACCCACCTTGTTGTTGATTAGTGCCTTGAGCAAACATACCACCGCCAGGTTGTTGGTTTGCATTATTTTGACCAAACATACCACCAGTGTTTTGCTGGCTTGTATTGTTTTGACCAAACATCCCAGCGGACTGTTGCTGGTTATTTGCTTGGCCGAATAGACCACCGGTAGACTGTTGCTGATTGTTATTCATAGTGTTGAAAGCATTGTTATTTTGGGTTTGACCGAATGCAGAAAGGTTATTGCTTTGACCAAACATGCCACCGGAAGATGCCGGTTTATTCATTCCAAATGGGGTGTTATTTGAGTTAGTGTTTGATCCAAACCCGGAACCGAATGCATTGTTACTGGTGTTGTTGTTGTTGTTACCGAAAGTTTGGCCAAATGCAGTATTATTATTAGTGTTGGTATTACCAAAAGTTTGATTTTGATTAGACGAAGCTCCGAACATTGAATTTGTATTTGTGTTTGTATTTGGGTTTTGGTTGTTATTCATCGAGTTAAACCCACCGAAGCCTGATTGGGTCTGTGGATTGGCAATGCTATTATTCTGCTGCTGCTGCTGCTGTTGCTGGTTCCCAAAAGGCGAACTATTATTATTAGCTGTTGAGCCAAAAGGTTGTGAAGAGGAGAAAGCTCCTCGGTTGGCGTTAAACATCGAAGTTATACTTTTTGTTTTTTTTTGGAACTGGAGATATAGAGGATGTGGATGGATCTATGGAGTAGCGTATGATATCTTTGTAGGTATGGGATCAGAATAATACGAATTGTGATGTTAATTTCGCTTGAGTTTTTATTTATTCGATTGAAGATAAATTCGATGGTAAATGTTCATTTTAGGAAAAATCTTTAAAACCCGTTCAAGATGATGCGTGTTTGTCACGTGATGATACGTTAGGTTAAAAAGTACTGAGAGTATAAGACTATACCTATGCTTGAACCTAAACCTTTCCTTATAGTTATATATGAATTAAACGAATGCATTATAATTATACATATTATACAGAAATATTGTGTTGTGTTATGTAATGAAATGATATGAAAAAACCCTGGATGCATCTGTGTGCGTATGCGTATGTATTTCCCCCATTATGAAGTAAGAGAATGTCCCAAATGATGAATTGTAATTGAACCCAGTGTGCGTTTATAAGTTATTCAACGCACTAGTTATGCTATGTATGTTATTCCAGTAGTGCAGGTTGACTGGGGCCAAAGAGCCGGTACTTAGGTCGACGACGAAGTCCTCGTCGTCGTCGTCGTCGTCTGCACTTGAGTCTGCATCAGTATGTGCACAGGCGTAGGCATAGGTGTAATCATCTAGAGTTGTGGTAGTGTTGTTGTTCTCCGTGCCATTTGGATCAAGTTTAAGCGTAAGTGTAGGTTTTAGTTCAGTATAGATGGAATTGAATTTCTGATCTAGACCTGGTTTTCTTTCGAATATGGAAGGTTTTGTGGATGTATTGTCGCAGACAGTTTGCATTAGAGCTTGTGAGTGTGAGTGTGAGTGTGTGGTGAAGTATATCTTGTTGGATTAGAGAACCCATTAGTTAAGATAGAGATGAGGATAAAGATGAGGATGAGATAGTTCAAATGCTAGTCGAGATGGTAGTTCTTATATATAAATGTGAGTGTGAGTGTGAGTGTGAGTGTAAAAGTGACGATGAGTATTTGTGTGCAGTGTTTTAGTTCTGTCGTATTGCAAGAGAGCAGAGCAAGGGAGAGATGAGCAGAGAGGAGATGGATAACTTCCTACGAACAAGAGCAAACTGTGATGGGACGAGAAGAGAGAGGCAGAGACAGGTATAGTCACGTGTACAGGACATGCATGTATTCAACACACACACACACACTGCCACAGTGGGGGAGAGACGGAAAAACACAAGCACAGGTAAACTGGTCAACGGGAAAACTGTGGCGCTCGTTTTGTGTGTGTGTGTGTGTTTTGCCAATATAATACGCGTAGTTGCGCTCTGGACGGAACGGTGGAGACAGCGGCAGCAGCAGCAGCAGCAACCAAAAATGTGTGGATCGTCACGTGCGTATGTGTTGCGATAATTGACAAGAAGGTATACAGTTGTGTATTGTATTGTACTGTTGCTGATCACATGACACACACAATCTGGGATTCTTTTTTTTTTTGGAAACGTCGGTTGTGTCATGTGACTATCTTCTTTCCAAACTGTGTTAGCAAGATAGTGCTATTACCACCATAGCTTGTGCGGTGGGGTGAGGTGCTATATCCCTGTGTTGGGATTGAAACCAGTCAATTGCTTGCTACGTATCAAAAGAATATAATATATTATACCAAGTGAATATGATATTGGTTTGTTGTGGTGGTGGTAAAAGTGGTCGGAGTCACGTGATCATATTATAGTCACGTGGCTGTCCAATTCAAGTCTCGTGTTCCTTTTATTCCCATTTCCATCTTTCACCGTTTTGGCGTATTATTTGCGATATCTGAAAAAGTATTATTAAAATAGATCATCCCAGTTTCGTGTCACACTCATCTCATATTACATCCATATATATTGGGGCATACATATATATACATACACGTACACATACACATATTTATATATATTAAGGTATCACTAGATATACTAATAACCATCCATCCATCCATACACAATCTCCAATTCCACTCCATGGACGACACTTTTCTCCACATGGGCGATGAGGACCCAACTGAAACTATTGTAAAGGATAACTCAAATACCCTAGACCCAACTGCCGTCATCACCAAGAAAAGAAAACCAACTGTAAAACTATCTTCTGACCAACTGCTCTCCGACAGAGGACTGCCTTACGTGCTTGCAAATGGTCCAAAAAGAATAAGAATATCCAAAAAAAATAGCAATCACCAAAATTTAAACAACATTATACTCTTCTATCAACTTTGGGCCCATGACGTCTTCCCAAGGGCTAAATTTAAGGACTTCATTAAATTGTGTAATACTCTGGGTAAATCGGATAGAATACTGAGAGAATATAGACTAGACCTCTTCAGAAAGGAAATGGGCATACATACAGATCAAATAAATATAGATCAAGCAACTTCGATAGACACTCTCCAACCAACTGATAACGCAACAGAAGATTCAATTCCAATTCCAGATGGTAGACTGTTTGTTGCAGATGAAGAAGGAGACAACAACGACGACGATGAAGACGACGACGATATATACTCACATTCATTAAACTCAAGAAGGAAGCCAACTGAGAGTTTGACGGAAGAACCAGAACCAAACGACAACGATGGAAACTTGGATCAGCTTGAACAACAATGGAGAGATCAACAACTCTTACTGCAGCAACAAGACGAACCAGAGGTTCAAGACGATGACGAAGACGATTTAGAGGCAATGAGGGAAATGAGAGATGATTATTTTTAAAAATAAAAAATAATTTGCATAGATATCTTTATACATATAAATACCCATATATAATTATACCCATCGGTCTATACGTAATGTTGAATTAAAATTTGCATGTCTTAACAATTAGTCTACTCAATTCTTCTAAATATTTCTTGTCGACTTCACCAAAACCTTCATAATCCAGACAATCTAAATCAATAACACCCAGTGTCTTGCCTTGTTCATTAACAATTGGCACTACAATTTCACTCTTGGTTTCACCGTCACATGCTATATGACCAGGAAACTTATTAACATCCTTCACCAACTGAGTTTCTTGGCTTTCTGCTGCTGCACCACACACACCTCTGCCAAATGCAATCAACTGACATGCAACTTTACCTTGAAAAGGTCCTAAAATCAATTCTTTATCTTCAACATTTGTAACATAAAAACCTGTCCAATTGACATTGACATTCAATGATCTATAAGCATGCCATAATAAAGATGATGCATTAGATAGATTACAGATCCAATTATCTTGGTCAGTAGATAATGCAGAATAGGAATCAATCAATGTCTGTAACACTTCTTCACGATCTTGAGAACTAAATGAACTGTATTCAGCATGATGCATACCTTCACTCATTTTATTATTAATTTTATGATTAAATACTTAAATTATGCAGAATGCCTATATTATTATCAGATAGATGCTCTCAGTTCGAACCAATATCTGTAAATGAGCTGAACCAGATAGCTTGAAACTTTATCGTACACCTTTCTTGATGTTTAATAACTTTTATTACATCAGAATAAGTGTATAATAATGAATATTTTTCAAATGTTTCTTATAAGATGAGGCAATTAATTACTGATTAGATAATTATCGGAATAAGGTACAGAGGAATCGGTTGGTTATGACATTGGGTGGAATGACGTGTATCGTTGTAATGGTAACCGTGGTGGATTGCTACTAGTTTAACCAATCGATTTTAATAGTTTTAAAATAAACAATGTAGAATTTGAAATACATATAAGCTGTATAAATTAATACAAGAAAAAAAAATAAAAAAATAAATGAAACGGACAGGAATTGAACCTGCAACCCTTCGATTGCAATTTTTATTCCGAGGAATCCCAGGATTTAACTGGAGTCGAAAGCTCTACCATTGAGCCACCGCTTCATCTAATTGTTGAAAAATTATAAAAATCAAAGAAAGTGGTTCCCATACTTCTAATACTAAAATTTGGTATTTTTTAGGTAAAATTATTAAACTTCATCAAAAGTACTCAGGAACCTTATATTTCTACTTGATTAGGTTTGGTTAAAAGGTAAAAAAGAATGTGACACTGGCTGAAACTATTGGCTATTCGATATTTATTTGTAGTTCTCTAATAGATTCCTAAATCTATAGTACGAGAAGTTATCATCTATTGTTATTTTTATAAAAGACTAACTTATGGAACCTAACAGCTCTGATAATTTTGAATACGTTTTACAGTTAACAAGAATCCTCAGTACTGAATGCAGGTCCAGCAGACAACAAACTGAACACATCAATCATATTCTAAGTAAAGTGGCGAAACTGTCTGGGGTTTCTTATGAACAATATAGTGAGGGTGTTGATAAAACAACACAAGAGAGGTACGATGCAATTTCAGGGAAATCAGAAATTGAAACTTTAGTTTCTGAAAATTATAATCTTATTTATAAAATTGAACAACAGGACTATATGAACAAAAAAGTATGGACTTTGATTAATCATGTTAATGAGCATATAAATTCTATCAGGATTTTTTTAAAAGAACAAAAGCTATTGAAGACAACAAAATACAAAGATATATTAAATGAAAAAATTGTAATACAAGAAAATATAGTTGATCAAAACACACAAGTATTAATGAAATCAAAAGATTCTATGGTATTGAAAATTAATGAAGTACTGCAAAAATTAAGTATTGTTTTAAAGGAAATAGATTTTACAAAAATTGAACAGAATTCTGATTACTTTAAATTTAAAGAGAGTTTAATATTTTTGAAAAATAATTTTGAAGTAGATTTAACTATCCCCAATATGTAATTTTAATAAATTATAATCATACTCTTAAATAGCATTTATAACACCTTAATTGATAATAATGATGATAATAAAAATAATCAATGATAGTTACAAACTCCCAACCTTACAAGAACATCAAGTGACGAAAATATTATTTTAATATTCATATATTGCTTGCTTTTTACCCAATTATACCAAAATTATATAGATATTACGAAAAATAAAGTATATATCTAAATGCATAAAAATTCAATTGACCTTTTTTTCACCGGGGGTATTTGCTCTGTAAAATATCCTATTCATAATCCCTGAAATTAATTCTTTAAAATTGACACTTATTTCTTTGAGAAGTAACTTATTCATTACCTTCAAACTCAAACATTCATAGTCAACACATTGGCTTTCAAGTATAGTTCTCACCCGCTTTTCAAATTCAATATTGTCAATTGACTCATTACAATCTATCGTTGTTTCTAATTCACTAGTTAGAAATGATTTCTCCACTGACTTCAATTTTGTTTCGAAATGTTTAATATTATGTTCAACTTCCTTCATACGTCTATCCAAAATTCTAATGTTATATTTCAACTTAGAGGATAATGATTCTAATTCACGCATTTCGTAGGAAACCAATTCTTTTCTTTGTTCAATTTCACTATGTGTGTTATTCAACTTATTGGCATTTTCATCATATGTATCATAGGCAACTTGTAATCTCTTTCTTAAATCGTTAAAATGAAATTCATCATATTGTAAGGCGGCATCGGGCTGAAAAATGAGTGCAAAGGTCTTTTGAAGCGAACAACAGTCACCTTTATCTAAACCTAACCTATGTTTTGCCTTCAATAAATCTCTTGCCATTCTGACCAAAGAAGGATCGAATGGTAAAGACCAAGTTTCTACTACATCCTGGATATGGGATAGAGTAACTGAACGATGTAATGAGTATACTCTAGATAACCCAGTATCCCCGTCCAATTCCTTTCTATGCTGATGTGCCTCAGTTCTTGAAATTGAATTTCTTCTATAAAACTCACCTTGGTAAATTTTGTTATTGCCATAACTACTTAGATATTTCCCTCTATCGTAGTTACAAAACATTGATGATAAAGAAATAGAAGAATTAGAAGTATTGATATTTTTTAAATCAAATATATCTTCCTTTGGATTTCCTTCATTGCTAGTGGAATCTACAATACTTGAAGGAGATGAAGGTTCTCCTTCTTTACTGGATTGAGCAGATGCCTGTTTGTGGATTTTTACTTCACTGTTAACCTGTAAGAAATCCCTTGGATCCCCGTTAAAATATTTAACTTTGCAAAATGATGGCATTTGACTTTTTCTTGTATCCTTTCTTAACCTACCTTTACCTTTCCATAACAAGCCCAGAGAGCCACCTGTGGCGTTCTGAACAAGTGTATCTAGATCGGTAGTTAATATTTCATTCGAGACATGAGTGATTCCCCCCTTACCTGTGATATCTTGTACAGTTGTCTTGACAACTTTCTTAAATTTGAAAATATCCGAACTTGAAGTTTTAGCAGATACTTCAAATAATTTCTGTAGTGTTTGATGATCCAAAAATACACTACTTGATTGCCTTGTGATGTTATATTTCCTCTGGAAATTACAAACGCCTGAATAGAACTCTGGCTCATCAAATGGATCTTTTGAAGAGGTACAATCCAAGACTAATAGTTTGAAATGGCAACTCATAATTAAACTTATCAAAGAAGCTACAGTTGTGGGACCAATAGTAGCTTCATTTTTTGGTTTCTCCATTCCAATATAGATCTTACCATATTCATTCCACCACTTGTCAATGGCCCGTTTAGTCTCATCATATAGCAAACCTTCCTTTTTAATAGTTGGCGAGAAAAGGTCAAAGTATCCTAGTGCTATCTGAATTAGGGTAATAAATTCAACAACAGGATGATAACATTCTACATACGATGCTCTAAGATGGGATAACTGACTATTTGCCTCAGGTCCTATAGGACCTGATTTAATCATATCTAAATACTTCAACCTCATATTTTTCGACATTGGAATTTTATAAATTTGGGCGAACTTGTCTTCAGCCGCAGACGTTGGTGAATTTACAATAATGCTGATCTCCCACCACAATGCAATCTCTTCAAATCAAAATTAACTTTAAAGTTATCCCAGATAACTCTGATATCACCACATTCGATATGTAATAGATTTAATGTAGACGAAACGTTGAATAAATTAGTAAGAAATAAAATCCCTTCAGGTATTGTTTTAGGTTGTGCAATTTCATTCAATTCCTTAAAATACTTTTGAAAACCCAATGGCCATCTTGTGGGGTCGACTGGTAAAATAACTTCAACTGCAGATATCTTATCCTTTGCATTACCTGTAAAACAAGTAATCAGAGATGAAATTTTCCCCTCAGCAATCCACTGTTCCACGATGTATATTTCAAAACCTGTTAATTCAATCTCTTTATACACCAGGTCTGTACATAAATGTAGATTTAAGTTGTACAGAGCTCTGATATCAGGAAATATAAAACTTTCCAATGATTGTTCAGGGATGGTATTTGACTCTGAGTGTCGTTGACTCTTTGTGGATTTATCACTGCGACTGTTATTATGGGAAAGCATAATATTATCGTAATGCATTTCTACTCAAATAATAAATATATTTGAATAGTATTACTAGAATTATAATAAACTCTAGACTAATAACAAATAACTATTTTTGTACTTTTTAGTATAACCAATTTCTCCTAAAAAAAAGCTAAATAATTGAAATTAATAATAATCTTTCTAAAAACCTTATGGAATAGCAGAAAACAACTAATATGTCAAAATAAACCTTCTTATATCGATATTATGACTTAATAATTGTAAATTATAACACTTAGTCCGTTATATTCACAAATAGTCATCACTTTTGCAGCAAATGCTGTTTGAGGTTCTTAAATATTTGTTGCTAGAGCCTTACTTAATTTCGAAATTGATCTAAATTTTCATAAATTACTAATGATACCATTATTATCACGTGATGTTGGATATAAGATATCGAAACGGTTAAAAAGGTGTAAGAGAGAAGCAGCATTGACATCACAAGCCAAATTAGTATGGTGATGCTGTTTGGGAGGGGAAGATGATGATGAAGATGAACAATAGAATATAGATAGATAAATAAGTAGGTTCAAGACATTGTATAGGTTGATGCTAGTGATGCATACAGATCAATTAGATTGGATAGCCTTTGATTTGTTTTTGGTGGGATCAAGGCTGTGAAGATTTATTTTAGTTGTATTTTTGTATATATATTTGATACTGTAAGATGATTGTGCTGAATTAAATATACAAATATATTATATGTATCTATTCTGTAGGTAAATTTCTTTACAATTCATCGTGTAAGATTGATGAGGAGTAGTTACCATCATCTTCATCATCATTATTAGTGTTATTATCAATTGATGAAGAAGCAGTATTTTTTGAGGTATCCTCCTCAATATCATTCAATTCATCCACTGTTTCTTGGATGTCTAAGTCTTCCTCATTTGCTGCGATGGTTGCATTGGTTGCTGCTTTCTTCTTTTCTTGTTCAAGTTTTCTTTGCAGTTTTTCTTGTTGTCTTTTTTGAGTTCTCAAAGTCTTTTGATAAACACTTTCAAGCTCACTTAAACGGAAATCTAAAGATCTTGAGAAATGAGAATACATCGATTTGACAGAATCCAATAATTGATCAAATGAGAGTTTCTTTTCAAGTAAAGTTTCTCTACTCAACTTGTTGAATGATCTTTTTTTACTTATCAATTTTGAAATGTCATTGCTATGTTCTTTTAATTTGGTTAAAGTTGAATTCCATTTAGACAATGCATTTTCTAAATAACGAGATAATTTGATTTTATTGTATTCTGTAGTGATGTTTAATCCGATATTTTCAAATACTTCTTGCGATTCCTCCAGTGTATTGGCAGAAATTTCTTCTCTTTCAGTGATATTTTTAAAAATTACATCAGCCTCTTCAACTAAAGATTTAAAGGTTTCCATATCTAGTGGTTCATCAATAGTTTTGATGTAAATGTCAATCTTGTTAACTAGATCACTTACAGCATCATGTCTTTTGGTTATATCTTTGATTTTGGCACCATCTGCTTCATCTTCAATCCATTCTAAATATTCAGATATGATGTTCTCTAATTCTTGGAATTCAAGTTCAGGAATATTTTCATTTTCTGAATTATCCTCTAGGAAACCTCTAGCATTGTAAAGGGCTGCTTCCAATGTATTCAATCTAGATTGTAATTCTAAACGCTCTTCCTCTTGGGCATCAAGTAACGAAATGTGCTTTTTAATGTATAATAGGTCCCTGTAACTTATATCTTTCAATATGGCACCATCAGATACGGAATCTAAAGCACTGGAAGGATTGGTCTTGTTGGATGCCACTGATTTAGAGTCTATATCCGAATTTGATTCTTCAATATCACTTGCGTCAGAATTCATCAAAGGGCTCTTCAAACATATGATTTCTGACTTTTCAAGACCGAATAACTTGCTTTCTGTCAATGAGAAAGTCATGTTATAAGCATACCCATATTCACAATCGTTAGATTTGAATTTCTTCTTCAAATTCTTAGAGGTTATATTATAGTTTCTCGACAATGTAGTACCTTCATATAGGTTAACATTTAGTTTATCCAAAATTTCGTCAGATGTATGCAAGACCATTGATCTTTTCTGAGGATATGTAGCTCCTTTCTCAAAAATAACACGCCAATCTTCGTCATCATTCAAAGAAACAAAGTAATTAGAAGTGGTACGATCAATTATATCTAAAGGTTTTGATTTGAAAGCTTCTGATAATTTAACACCTCTAATTGTAACACCATTGACAATGGATTCATCTGCATTCACATTTCTTAATAATTTGTCTTCGCCAACCAATTCTAATAAACGTTGTTGGATAACTGGGATACGATTGGCACCACCAACTAGAATAACACCTTCTAGGTCATTCATTGTGACGGTATCATTCCAAAATTGTTCATTCAACATAGTGTTAATGGAGCAGTTGCCAATGGCAAGTAATCCTCAACAAAGTCTTCCAAATGCTTTCTAAAAATTGTAGCTTTAAGTCAATTTCATCTATCACGGATTCGATACTTACAGTAACCTCTGAATTGGCACTCAATATAAATTTTGCTTTTTCAGCTGCGCTATTGATCTTTGCAATGGCTCTTGGGTCGGATTTCAATTTATCTGATCTGATCTTAGAATGTTTTTCCAAGAATTTATTTTCAATCAAAGATGCTATCGCCAAAGTAAAATCTGAACCACCGAAGTCTGAGTTATATCCATAACCACCGAATTCAATTTGTGTTGGTTCGGTTTCGGTTTCTGGCTGGTATACAGAAAACAATGAAGCTTGTGTAGAACTACTACCCATATCATAAACAGCATAATATTTACGAACACCAGGTTCAAAATCACGTTGTTTTAAAACAAAATTAATAGCAACAGACATACCGTCACTAACCAAATAGGTATTAATTTTTGAATCAATAATCTGTCCTACATTTAAAAGAGCCAAACGTTGGTACTGGTTGAAATATTCAGGGATAGAGAACGCAATATCATTAACTTCGTCGTTAATTTTAGAGTCTTGTTCTTTCAAAAAATTATTAGCTCTTTTAACAATTTCCATTATATTCATTGCGATAACTTCTTCGATTGGATATTCAAAACCATCGATAACAAAAGCGATTGAGTTTCTTTGAGTTTCTGTGATATTAATACCCGGATGTCTCTTCAAATAAGAAACTACTTCATTTTCATTATCCTCGTGAGATATACCTAACAATGATTTTAAACCTAATAAAGTATTTCTTGGGAATCTAGTGGATAAAGATCCAATTGCAGAACCATAAATTCTTTCAAATTGTCCTGACTTCCCTGGTAATTTCTTGATAACCAAACCAGCCAAATCCTTACGTTTAGTCTCAGGAGTTAAAACCATCTCCATAGGAGCTTGTGGAGAAACAATCATAGCTTTATAATTTTGTTGACCAAAATCAATACCCATTACTGCGGCAAACACATTTTGAATCAATAACAAAAATATGACAACAAGGTTCGCCAAACCAAAATTCCTCTTTACAGCCATCTTCAATATATCTAATAGAAGACCACAGTCTTACCTTGACCTGATTGATCCTTAGAAAACACAACAATTATAAGCTTTTATTCACTTTTGTTAAGTACTTGTCACTCTTAAATCTTTAATTCATTCAGCTTTTTTTTTCACTAAGCTCTTGGATGTCAAAATATTGAAAAATTACATTAATGAGAGAGGTAACTTAAAAGGAAGTTAAATATGAAGAAGTTGAGATGAGGTGATTGATCTTGATTGGATTAGAGGTTACAAAGGTTTCAAGTGGTCACCAAAGTTTATAATGAGTATTGAACAGTCTTTGGAGGATGTTAGGTCGAAGATTATAGCCTCGATGGCGTCGAAAAACAGTGGTGATTCGAATTCATCTAGTGGTCAAGAAGATAATAAAAGGACTAAATATGAGAGGTTACCTAGTGGTCCAAGACAAGGTAATCAAAGTAGATTTGAGAACAAGGATGTTGGGTATTCAAATTATCATAATCGCCAACAACACCAGCATCAACATCAACATCAACACCAACCGTCGGGCAGTAGGTATAGAGGGAATACATACAACGATAGAACATCGAATAGGTACAACAATGGTTATCGTATGAATAATAGGTACCAGGGTGGTAATAATAACAATAACAATGGTAATAATAGACCATATCAAAAGATGGCAATGAGAGGTAATAATAATGTTGTTAACCCTTTAGATATTTGTGATTTCTCTTTTAGAGATGAAGAGCTGGCAAATGTGACGTCTATTGACAAGAGGCAAAGAATGAAACCTACTAGATGGGATGTGACACCAGAAGGGTTTGAGAAAGTTTTAGCAGAGAGAGCTAAACTATCTGGGTTGTTCCCACAACCTGGTCAACCACAAGAATTAGACAGAACGAAATTAGCAAGAGTTGTGTTTCATGGAGGTACTAAAAGCAGAAGAACAAGGATATTGTTCGAAGACGCTACTGAGAATATGCTGAATGAATCTAAAGCTAGTTGTCAAGTTGTGATTACTGGTGTGAAGAAAGAATTTGAATTACCATCATTGGAAAATCTAGTGACGGTCATGTTGGAAGGAATGGAAGAAGAATACGAGCTAAAATCTATAAAGAAAGCTACGAATAAAGGGGAAGAGGATGACCATGAGGGATATGTAGTGATAGAGGTGAATTGTGGTGAGGCTGCTACTATTCTTATTTCTGCTCAATGGTATATCAAGGATAAACTTGGCGAAGCATTTGATGAAGCAAAGTGGAGTCGACCAGGAAGTTATATTGGTCAGACAGGCGAAGAAGACAGCATCAGTGATCATTCTGCGATTGCAATAAAGGTTGACCAAGAGGATGAGAAAAACATACAAGAGAAATATGGACCATTAAAATTTACCAAAATGATAACATACAAAGAAAAAAGTGCTGATGGCGAAAGTAAGATGATCGACACAGGTATGATGCTAATACCTGGTATTGAAGAAGAAGATAAGAAGCTTCAAGGCGTTAAATGGATCAAACCTAATGAATCGTCAAGTATGAAACAAGAACGCGGTGGGGTCACGTTCCAAAGCATCAGCAAGCTAGTGGTTGAGAAGAAGAGGAAAGAAAGCAAGACCTTATTGTTATTAAATTGTGTGGACCCACTAGATTTGAAAAACCTTCAATTTCTAGAAGAGATCAAAGACACCATTGAAGAAGGATTGGAAGGAGTAGAGAAAGTAAAGATTCGGAGTCCTAATGCGGACTATCGATTAAACCTTGAACATGTCAATGAAGGCATTGGGAATATATATATAAGATTCGATAGCGTTGAAAATTGCCAGGAAGCTATTAAACGGTTGTCTGGATCTAAATTCAACGACAGAACGGTATTATGTAGTTATTACGACGACAATGACTTTGATCATTTTGAACTTCTATAGTATATCGATATATATATATATAGTATGATGAATGGTGTATGTGTATAGTATAAAAACCTGGCATGTTATAAAGAAATCTATTGGATAAGTGGCGGTTGCTAGACACTTTGGTCTGAACTCTGCCGTATCTGTATCTGTATCTGTAACTGCACCAAGTGCACATTCTGTCTCCTGTCACCCAGCTCTTCTCAGATCCTTACCTCTCACGTGACCACTGATGAAAAAAAATATATCACTGAAACGCGTAGTGTGCTTAGCAGTAAAGAATGCACGGCAACTTGTTCCTTTCCAGGTGCAAAACCACACCAGAAATGAACCAAATTGCACCCAACCCACAAGAAAATGCATGGCATACTACACTGTTTCAACTCTTAAAAAGAACAACGAGAGCCAACGAGAACTGCAGAATACACGATGCAAAATGAACACCCATCTCATCTCATCTCATCTCATCTCATCTCATCTCATCTCATCTCATCTCATAGCAACAACAGCTCAGCTCTGTTTCTTTCTCTATATCATTCTGTCATCTGACCATACTTAACAACCCGAATCGTTATACCCTGCCAATTAAGACAAGGTTAACGTCAGCTTGCAGTCGATTGAATGACTGGATTGTCTATTGCTAATCGCACCAGGTGCAACTGTATTAAGTTTTACAGATCTATTTATTCATCCTACCATATGGACATAGGCATGTACGTCGACGTGGATTCCTTGTTGCATATGCTACTGCTTACCACTCATTGGGCCATACTCTCGAAGGATCTTGTCTCTCTTTCTACCTGGCCCACCCCAGTTCACCTTAAAAGTGTCAGTTTTAGAAGGGTGCATATGAATTTAGACCTCTTTTATCCAGAGATGTATTAATATCTAAATACTGGCACTCACTTGCGTTCGCATTCATATATATATATATATGTGCTAGGCATCTCTTGATGTATGGCTTCGATAATGACTTGGAATTGATATACTAGTCTATAATTGCCTATTGAATGGATCTCTCTCTCTCTCTTGATAACTTAATAATAGGTCCAGCATACATCATTCCCATTCTTGGATTTTATCTCATCTGTATAGTATCGATAAAATGAACTTATCCATACTTTTGACATTCACTCTACTATATAATGTTGTATTGGCTAAGATCCATACTTTTAATTGGACCACTGGCTGGGGGAACTACGATGTAGATGGTACTTTTGAAAGACCTGTCATTACTTGCAATGGTGAATTCCCATGGCCAGACATTAGGGTTGCTAAAGGTGACAGAATTGAAATATATTTGACTAACGGCTTCACTGACGCTAATACTACCTTGCATGCCCACGGTTTATTCATGAAAGGTATGAACCAAATGGACGGACCACCAATGGTTTCACAGTGTCCTATTGCTCCTGGTGACACTTTCTTATACAATTTCACTGTTGATGATAACGTGGGTACTTATTGGTATCATTCACACACACTGGGTCAATACGGTGACGGTTTTAAAGGTAAACTGATTATTGAAGATGGTGAAAATAATGAGAATTTCCCATATGAGTATGATGAGGAAGTCAGTATCGAACTTTCTGAATGGTATCATAAGACTAGCGAAGAATTGATCCCTTCTTTTATGAGTTTGTTCAATCCTACTGGTGCTGAACCAATCCCACAAAATTTGATCATTAATAATACTAAGAATTTAACATGGGATGTCAAACCAAATACTACTTATTTATTGAGACTGTTGAATACTGGTGGGTTTGTCTCTCAGTACTTTTGGATAGAAGATCATAACATGACCGTTGTAGAAGTGGATGGTGTCTACACTGAAAAAAATACTACTGATATGCTATACATTACTGTTGCTCAAAGATATTCAGTTTTAATTACGACAAAGGATGATACTTCAAAAAATTATGCTATCATGCAAAAATTCGATGATACTATGTTAGATAAGATTCCAAAGGAATTAGAATTAAATGCAACTTCTTTTATGACTTATAACTCCTCTGCTCCAAAACCTGAAGAATCATATGTAGATTCTCTAGATGATTATCTAGATGATTTCTATTTAATTCCATATGATAAAGTAGAAGTCTATGGTGAGCCAGACTATACCATCACTTTAGATTTAAAAATGGATAATTTAATAAGTGGTGTAAACTATGCCTTCTTCAATAATATCACCTATACTTCTCCAAAGATTCCAACTTTAATGACAGTATTATCGGCTGGCACAGATGCTAATAATCCTTATATCTACGGTACAAATACTAATACTTTTGTATTGAACAGAAATGAAACTATTGATTTAGTATTGAATAATTTGGATTCTGGTAAACATCCTTTCCATTTACATGGTCATGTTTTCCAATTGGTTTGGAGAGACAGACCATATGACAGTGACTTGGGTGAAGAACCACATGCATATAACGAAACTGAATCTCATACCTTCCCACAATACCCAATGATGAGAGACACTGTGTATGTTAACCCTCAATCAAATTTTGTATTACGTTTCAAATCAGATAACCCAGGTGTCTGGTATTTCCACTGTCATATCGAATGGCATATGGTTCAAGGTCTAACTATTGTTTTGGTAGAGGACCCTTATGGTATTCAGTCAGACCCTACTCAACAGATTAATCAAAATGGTTTGGATATCTGTAAAAGCGTTGGTGTTATGACAAGTGGTAATGCAGCAGGTAATGATGACTTCTTTAACTTAAAAGGACAAAATGTTCAAGAAAATTTTATTCCAGGTGGCTTTACCGCTAAAGGTATTGTTGCTTTAACATTCTCTTGTTTAGCTGGTATTTTAGGTCTTGCCACATTAGCATTTTATGGCTTAATGGATATTCCTGACGCTGTCGAAAAGGTAGCTGATGACTTGAGTATACCATTAACAGATATTGTTGATACATCAACCCATTTCACTTAAACAATCCAGCCATAGAATATTTTATCTAAGCTTCACAATCATGATTAATTAAAGATTTTTATCATTTAGTAGACATACTCCATTGTGTATAACTAATTAAACTTCTTTTTGTATTTTAACTATAAAAGATAATTAACGATCATTGCAAGAAAACTAAATTCACATCTTAATGCTTTAATTCACATTCCTTTTTATATCAATTAGGTTTGTTTGTAATATTCTGTTTACTTCACTAACTTATATTTAGATTAGAAGATGCAGTATACCATAATTTCATATACAGGTTTTATAAAATTTGATTTCTAGTTAGAAATCATGTTTAAGTACGGTAATCACCATTGATTGTTACATACTCATGTGAGATATCACAAGTCCAGAATTGGGCTTCCTCAGTACCGGTGCCTAAATCAACAGAGATTTCTAGATCATTCAAATTTAATATTTCTGAAGCCCTAGCTTCATCGATTTCAAGCTGTGGCACACCGTTAACAACTAATTTCAATTCCTTTGGCTCTGAACCATCGGTAGCGATAAAACTGACATTTATTTTGTCAACATTTAAAGACTTCAAGTTGTCTAATTTTGCGTAACCTATAGCACATAAAATTCTACCCCAGTTAGCGTCTTGACCATATAATGCTGTCTTAACCAGTAATGAGTTAGAAATAGATTCGGCAATAATTTTAGCATCTTCGAAAGTCAAAGAATTTTGAACTTTAACAGTAACAAACTTAGTTGAACCTTCACCATCTCTGACCACTAATTGTGCTAATTGCTGGGCAAATTCTGTAACCTGGTTTTGCACTTGAACATATTCTTGAGAAGTTTCATCAATTTCTTTGGTCTCGACAGCACCATTAGCAATCATACAAATGGTATCATTAGTACTCATATCACCATCAACACTGATACAGTTGAAAGAACGATTAGTTGCATGTGTTAAAATACTCTTTAGAGCAGATGATTTTATTGGTAGGTCTGTAACTATAAAACCTAACAAAGTAGCCATATTTGGACAAATCATACCAGCACCTTTAGCAATACCGGTTAAGGTGTATTTTTCACCATTTGGTAAAGAGAAACGAGAGGTGACTAATTTTGGGAATGTATCAGTGGTACAAATTGATTTTGCCATATCCAACCAAGATTGGAAATCTGATCCAAATTTATTGTTATCGAATATTTCATCAATACCTTTAGAAATTTTATTCACGTGTAATCTTTGACCAATTACACCAGTAGACATTGGTAACGTTGACATTGAAGTACCCAATTTAGAATCTACATGACTTATAAGTTTTTTAGCATCTTCAATACCAACTTCACCGGTAACAGAATTGGCACAGCCAGAATTAATAACAATTGCATTAATTCCAGTACCATTTTTATCCTCCAGTATTTGTTTTGAAACTACAACAGGAGCAGCTTTGAATTTATTAGTTGTGAAAACTGCTGCTGCTGCTGCTGGACGTGAAGTATTAGTATTTCTAATGATACCTAAATCTAAATTACCATTTTTCTTGACACCAGAAGCAGTAGAGCCTACCTGGAATCCTCTAGGAAACACACCATTCTTTGGAACATACAAAGCATATTTATCAACACTTTTTGAAGCTTGCTGCAATAGTTTGGTATTCAACTTCATCTTTTTATTACAATAATATCGTTAAACCCACTTACTGTTCTTATTCCCTTTCACTCTTCAACTAGGCTTCTCGTCTTATTTCAATACCTCTCCCACAATTATGCCTAAAACAGGAATTGGTTTAGCCATAACCATATCAATTCATTCAATTGTTATCATCTTTATATATCTATAAAGATAATAATCTGATCCATCCCCCCCATCAATAACTTATTTCAGGTCTCTTGTAGAGTCTGGATCACTTCGAAAGCATTTCCTATTTTAAAGACTTGTTCGGTTTCTTTTTTTGCTTGCTAGCTAGTAGCTATGGTAACCACTTGATAAAGAGTTTTAGCTGTAGGATGGTTAAAACGTATTCTTTAAGAGTCATAGATCTGAATTTAATGGTTGATGGTCTTTGTTTCTAGTAGTCAAGGTTATATAAGAATGATTGGTACATCAGATATTCCATAGGTAGGTCTATGAGTCATTTCAATTACGGTTTTTACTTTAACCGGTTTCAATTGGATTGGAAACATTAGACAAGACAGGAAAAGATAATAAAATTGTTACGTTTAAACCTATTAGTTTATTACTATTCGAATGTTCATTTTCTAAGTAAATATATAATTTATATATCTATTATGCATTATTGTAGGAAAATTTTGTCAATATTATGATGACGATGAGGGTTCATGTACTTTTGTTTGGGTATTTAAAGAATTTTTGTTTTTCCTACAGCAGATATGTTGTTACCAACTGCCTCTTGTAACCAAGAAAGTTCAATTCTACTAACGTTCCGTGCATAACCTTTGGTGGTGAAAACATATTCAGTGTACATGATACCAGGACAGTGTTTATTTAAAAATAGCATTGAAGATGGATGAACGCTGATAGTTTCACCAGTGGTAACTGTTCTATAAGACCTGTCAGGCATACCGATAGCAGTGTTTTTAGAAAACCCAGTTAAGAAACATTTTAAAATACTATGTATTTCTTCTTCATTACCTTTCAATTTATTATCAGTTTCGTCATCATATCCATTTTGGTTTGTGTCAAATAGTTTCTTACAATACAGTCTTATTTGTTCTCTAACTTTTACGACATTTTTGAACCCACGATATGAAATACAAAGCTGCTTACACCATTCACTTTTTTCCCCACTGGCATGGTTTTGTTTATTCAACTCGTAGAAATAAACGTCAAACAATTCTTTTAACATAATCAAATCACCAAATCTTCTACCGTAAATACATAGAGAGTATCTACGTTCATTAACTACGTCTCTTTCTTCAGGCTGTGGGTTTAACAACAAGTTTTCAACACTTAAGCATGATACAATATCAATGACCTGAGATAAACAACCCATTTCAGAAGCTTTAATCAATACGGAACTTAGATGTGGTTGCAAGGGCAATAATGCCATTTGATTACCACGATTGGTTATTTTACCACTGTCGCTTAAAGCACCCAGTTGGTATAATTCTTGTAGCCCTGTAACTAATTCGTCTTTGCCAGGCTTTTCAAACCAAGTCCAATTTAAAATGTCGTCAATACCAACTTTTTTTAAGAGTAAAACTGGTGAGGTTATATCACTTCTAGCTATTTCAGGTTCTGTTTGTGTCGGTAATTTTGAAAAATCTTGTTCACAATATAATCTAAACGACTTACCTTCATCCTCTCTACCAGCTCTACCACTTCTTTGCATTGCACTTGCCTGAGAAATTGGGACAGTTAATAAAGTTGCTAAACCCAATTGATGTCTCCATACTTTGACCTTACGTAAACCAGAATCAACAACATATCTAACACCTGACACAGTAACGGAAGTTTCTGCAATATTTGTACTAAAGATAATTTTCCTCTTAAAACCTTTTAATGGTAAGAATACTTGAGCTTGTTGACTTGGAGATAAAGCTGCATATAATGGGGACGCAATCATCAATGGGACTGAATTTTCCTTTTGAATTTCTTCTGCTATTTTATTAATAATAGTCACAGCTTTATCAATTTCTTCTTGACCTGGCAAGAAGCATAATACGTCACCAGTAGCTTCCCTTAGATTTATTTGTACACAACATCTTATGACTGCATCTACAATATCATCACAAGGTGCTTTTAAATAATATTGTGATACATTGAATTTACGACCTTCAACGAATAGAATTGGGGCATTGTCGAAGAAGGAGCTAAATTTATCAGCTTGTAAAGTAGCAGACATTACTATCACCTTTAGATCTTTCCTTTTGCCATTCAACAAATATTTTAAAAAACCTAAGATCAAATCTGTTAATACGGTTCTTTCATGAGCTTCATCGATAATAACGGTATTGTATTCTTTTAATTCTTTATCCATCATTAATTCTCTCAGCAACATACCATCAGTTAGATATTTAAGTCTTGTTTTGTTACTGGTAGAATTATCGAATCTGACAGAATAACCTACTTGGTCACCGACGTTACAACCATGCTCTTGTGAGACACGAGTCGCTAGATTGACAGCAGCCACTCTACGAGGTTGTGTAACAGCAATTGAACCATGAATTTTTTTATTTTTATACAATTCATCTAATAAGAATTGTGGAATTTGAGTAGATTTACCAGAACCTGTTTCACCAATCAAGACAGTTACTTGATTTTTATTAATATATTTCATAATTTCATCTTTATTTTTAAAAACCGGCAGAGTTTTCCTAACATTCAAAAGCTCATTTGCTCTAGTCTTTAAATTTTTATTTGATTGATGCTTAAACCTATCAAATTCATCGTCCTCGATATCTTCTTCTGCAACCTCTTGGAAAGTTATAGTGTTCTCCTTATCATTATTCCTCTTCTTGAATGGGTTAATAGCTTTATTATTCGCTTTCTTGCTGGCATTCTTCTTATTCTTACCAGAGGCCCTACTCTTTGCTGGCCCAGGAATCTTACCGTGCATACTTTAAAACTATTCTATTTTGTTCTATACTGTTCAGTTCTAAAATTAAAGCCCTGCTCTTCTATAAACCAATTTTAATTTCCTATATAGCAAGCCCACACAAATCACAACGCCATCAAAGCGACAGTAGATAAATACAAATAAACAAGACCAAAACCCTCACAATCCAACAATATTCAACTAGAATCTAAATATAATTGCATGTATGCAGGTACATATCATCACATCTTTAAACTACTTGATCTCATCTCATCTCATCTAATCTCATCTCATCTCAGCTATCTCATCTCATCTCATCGCATCTTGAAGCTTCAAAATTCGTCCTGTCTGCAATTTTTCGAAATTTTTCACTTTTGATGATTCGGTCATTGTTGACGATGGACATTCATGAGATGAGATGAGATGAGAATTGAATAACAGTTTCGACCGTCTCTCACTCTACAATGGAATGGAATGGAATGAACTAGACTTAACCATATTTACATTACTCATAGAAAACTCTAATGGTTGATGATTCATTGATACTTTTTTGTTCTGCAAGGTTGGTAGGATTAGGTTTTAAATAGGTTACCACTCTTTTATATTGATTGTTCTCTGGAATCTCATAGCTTCTGTCTCAGTTGAACTGGTACTGACGTATACAAGACACATACTATATTTGCAAAAAAATAAGGTAAAAATTAAAATCATCAGATAGGATAAAATAGATTATAATCATTTGGATACGGAGAATAATTTTTTGTCTTGATCGTTGTGTTGTAATGTTCTGTTATTGATATATCATAATCCTATTTCTACCCTTTTCTTTAAATTCAATTACAAGGGCTTTGAATATGTGTATATATATATGAACACACACTCATATATATATATATATATATACTTCCAATAGTTATCAAAGATGAGTAGGTTTTCTCTGATGATGTCAGTGGCCATACTAATGACAATTTCGTTAGTATTTCATATCATTCCAAATATCACTACGCCGGTGATAGATCATTTGATGTTATCCCAACTTGATGGTATCCAATTTGGTGTATTTGGTTGGTGTAATACAAAAGGTCATAGTATGGGTTGCAGTGGTCTAAGTATAGGCTACCGTTATCCCCAATCAAGTTTATTAGCTTTAAAATTTCGTTTGCCTTCGGGGATTAGATACTCGGTGACAAGACTTTTAGTGGTCCATCCTATTGCATTGGTGTTCGTATTCGTACTTTGGTTGATGAGTTTATGTTTATTCATAGAAAAGTTAGGAACTTCAACTTCCTACACCTTAGGTGTAGCTTTGTTATCTTTGCCTACTTTCTTAATGTCCTTATTGGCTTTCTTGGTGGATCTGCTATTGTTTGTGCCGACCGTGTGTTGGCCAGCATGGATGGTATTGATAGTGACCATCTTCATTGCCATATGCTGCTCTATTCTATGGTCTTTAAGAAGATCGGCAATCATGATCAACTATGAAGCATTATATTCGACTGGTGATCAAGATAATCAAGTGGAAATGGTATCGCTTCCCGATGCACAAAAACAAAAACTGATAGATATGAATGAAACCCATGATTCTGATTGGAACAGCAGTTTAATGCTGGAACCTGAATTAACTTATAGAGTACCTTAATACAATAACCATTCATCTATTGTTCCATACATTACCATTTAAATATCAAGGCATGTGACTGGTCATAATATACGTGCATATATTAAAACCCAAAGAAAAAAAAATATAATCCAGCTCGAGTTCGAGTTCGAAATCATGAACTATTTCAATACCAGTTGGCACAACACGACAAATACACCTTAGGATAGGGTCTCACTGGAGCAATTTGACTATATATCTGGTAGATTGAGCCATTGGTGAAATATACAGAGATAACTGACGACCTATGAATAGATTTAAAACTGAAAATATCTAATATACCTTTTTTTTATCTGTGTGAGCCATCCTCTAGTTTTAAAATAATTGAAGATAATGGTAATTTCAAAGGTGGCTTCAAAATGTTCACCTAAAAATGTTACACAGTCTATGGTTTTAGTACCGAGCAGGAACATTGCATCAAGAAAAGGTTTTGTGAAACCAATAGATCCAAAAGAAATTATTCATCCATTTTATAGACCATCTCAAATTGAAGAATTCACATTATGTAGTACTGAAAGAAACCCTTCGTTAATGGATGGTAAGCCAGTTTTTCCTATCAGTTTACCACTGTTATCAACGTCTGTGTTACCTCAGTTGTTATATAAAAAAATTATATTCCCTAGTGTACGTAATATTGTGCCTTGGCTAAAGAAGTTTAACTATATTAGAATAAAAAATTACTCTGATGAATATTATACAATAGATTTCAAACCTTTGGAAATGCCAACGGTTGAATCGAAATTAACAATTACAAATTTCCCAGAATTGAAAATTTTAGTGGATTTATTAGAAAATACTAATGGTGGCAGAACTGACATACACAATTTTGAATTATGCTTAAACAATATTTTACAAAAACGAATGTCAACTAGACTATTTGTGGAAGATATATACATATATCTGATTCAAAATTACGTCACTACTATACCTAAATTAATATTAGTGACCAAATCGATTAAAAATCATTTAAATAATGGTATTGATCATTTATCCATCTTAGAAAAATTGGTGAATGAAATACTTTACCTCGTGCATTCAAAAAAGTTCACCATGGATTTGGTACTCATGAACACTTTTAATGGTTTGTTGAAGGAGGCGGACAATAAATTTAATACCCATTCTTCTAAATTTGGATTTTCAGAAACGACAAAAGAATCTTTACTAATGTTATATATTCAAGCAGAAGATATTCACTCTAGTAAAGAATTGCTAGGAAACTTGATCTCAAAAAAAAGTTATCCCAAGGATGAAATTATCTTAGCATATTTGGACCTCATTAATAAGGCTGTTTATAAGAGTAATCCAGAAAATGCCATTTTGCAAAGGTTATCCTACACATCTAATTTTTTTAATATAATAAATCACACTACAAACCCTGAGATTTTAAGGTTTTTTATTCATAATTCAAGGCATTTCAAGGAAATCCAATGCGTTTTGGATATGATACTAAAGAAAAAGAATAGAAAGGACATTGTATTACCACTATGCATAGATCTAATTGAAAAAACTGTCTCGGTTTCTGACTCTGCAGTTTCAACTTCACTAAACTTAACAAGATTAAGTGATTATTTTGAGACGATGTTAGGAATGAATGTTCGTATTGAAGCTAAAGAAGTTTTTATGAAGAAATAATACAGCAAAAAATTTCACCTTATTGGCAAATTACATTGACAAGAACCAAATTACTTTGAGTGATAAAATGATAGTAGAATTTTTTGACACCACGAAATTTAAAAAAAAAATCGAAGGATTAGGCTGTAGTGTCTTTCAAGATATTCAGAGAACTAAATTTTTTGATAAATATATTTTTACAAGGTATAATTCGTTTGATATTAACTCAAGGTCCAATATCCTTATTTCTGTTGATAACCAAGAATTATTGTTAGACTTCCTATTTCGTGAAATAAAGATAATGGAAAAATCAGAACCAAATTTAGTTGTCAACATTTATAATCAATTGCAAAAGTTAGGTACTTTGGAAACTGAAACCCTAAAAAGTTTGAATGAAGCAATAGAAAAAAATGATAAAAATGAAATAAAAGAAGTTGCAAATAAGCTTCTGACTGCCTCTAGAATATAATCTGCATTTCATATAAAATGATAACATTAATTGATGTTACCTATTATTACATGTATATAATCAAGATTAAATAAATAACATTCATAGTTTAACAAGAAATTACAAATTTCATAAAGACAAATTAATCCCAAAAGCAAAAAAGCTCATAAACTTATGACTAGATATATATATTAATTACCTACGTTATTATATTAAATTTTTTACAAAAGTTAATTGAATCATTTCAAAACCTTACCATCAACAATTTCCTTAGAGACACCACCAGCAACAACTGGTTTATCCCAAGCCCACATGTTGTTAACGAATTCCTTTTCTTCTTCGTTAGTTGGGTCCAACTTGGTGTAACTGTAAGATTCCCAATCTGGAGCAACGTCGAAGGCTGGAACACTGTCTTGACCTCTGACCATAACAGCACCAATGATACCGTTGTTGTTGTTTTCACCATAGACAACCATGGAACCGAACATGTACTTGGTAGAAGCAGACAATCTGTTGAAGAAACCACCGATCAAGTTGTTAGACATGAAGGTTTGGGTCAATTCATCATTGTATTTGTATTCAACCTTCCACAAAGAGTATTCTTCTGGGTTGTAATGTTCCCAGAACCATGGCAAAGCAACTGGTCTGGTGTCTTCGTTAGAGTATTGTCTCTTCCATTCATCTAAGACGAAAGTAGATCTACCTAAAGCTTCCAAAGGATGCTTTGGTTTCTTTTCAGCTGGAGCTGGAGCGTCAGCTTCAGCAGCAGCAGCCTTTGGCTTTTCTTCCTTCTTTGGCTTTTCTTGTTGCTTCTTTTCCTTCTTTGGTGGAGTGAAGACCATAGCTTTGTCAATTGGAGCCAAGTTAGCACCAGAAGCCAAGACGATTGGAGAGGCAGAGACAGTAGAGTACCATCTCATCAAGTGTGGGTACTTAGCTCTAGTTTCTGGACCAGCGACGGTAGTCAAAGCAAAACTCCAAGTGATAGCGGAAACGACATCGGCGAAAGAGATACTTTCGGTAGCCAAGTAAGTGTATTCCTTTAATCTAGCGTCGAAGATAGCAGCGACAGTTTCAATGAAAGCCATACCTTCGTCAGCAATCTTCTTGTTGTATGGAATAACACCCGTAACTGGTAAGATAGCCTTAGCGAAGTTAGACATCATATCGGAGAAACACAAAGAAGCCCATCTCATGATGGCAGCTTCTTGGTTCATGTTGGCACCCAACAAGGTAGCCTTAACCTTTTCATCATCGACCAAATTGATCACTAAATTTCAAACAGAAAGATTTGTTAGTAAACTAAGAATTCCATCAATATTGACAATTAGTCAAAAGGATGCAGTTTAATTCAACTCGGTTCAATTTAATTTAATTTATCAAAAAGAAAAAAATTAGGACAAAATATCAGAGTAAATGTTATCGACATATGAGATTTTACCATTTTACACCCATTCAGACAGGGATAACTGTAAAATATTGAAAAGTTTTCTCATCATTATAATGTCCTAATAGCATTGACAATTAAATAAATTAAAAGCAATCAAAAAAAATACAAAACCAAAAATAAATTAGAATAGAAATTCAACATACAGTAATAACAGATAGCAATAGCTTCAGTTAATTTGAAACCTTTGGCAGATTCGAAAGCTGGGAACTTCTTCAATGGGAACTTGGCAGCGAAGTCAGCATCAGCAGTTTGCAAGAATTTGACATCAACATTCAATTTGAAGTGTTCGACAATAGCCTTTGGAATTAAGGTTCTTGGAGATGGGTTAGTGTATAGAGTACCTTGAGACATCTTTACGAATGTATATATGTAGTTCTTCTATCTCAACATTGCCAATTGATAAAAGAGACGAAAGATGTGAAAGTAGGTGTATATATATATAAAAATATATGAAAATGAAAGTTGAAACGAAAAGTAAAATATTAATGATAAAAGTGACAAGAAGTAGAAGATTGCTGTATGAAAAGTAATGCAATTGTAAAAATCTTATATACTGTAGATAAAAAACTTCGAAACGTTGTTGGGTTTTTCGAATCGATGAGAAAAAATTTTCAGTTTAGAGAGATGAGATGATGAGATGAAAAATTGTTGTGCATTAAGTTCTTGCTGGATCAAACAGTTCAAAGAGACAGGTCTTGTTTGTTAGCTTTGTTCTGGCAAAGATGAGACTTCGAGAGAAAGAAAAAAAATTTTCTTGTTGTGAGCAAGTGAGAGCAGAGCAGAGGCAGTGGGAGCAGTGGTAATTGTCAAATAAGCTAATATGGTATTAGGTTTAGCTTATTGGTAGTGTTGGTAGTGTTGGTGTTGTCTTTTGTTTTCAGCTTGGACAGTTTGACGATAATAATGTGACACAGACAGATAGCAGCAGCGTACGAGAAACAGCAACAGCGACAGAGAGAGACGTGGAGGACAAGTAACAAAAAATAAAAAACTTGAAAAAAGAAACGTTTGAAAATTTTCAGTTAGGTTTCGAAATGCAACAAAAGAAACGTGAGAAATGTTATCTGGTTTGTTTTAAATCACGTGATGGTGTCATGTGACTCGTCTGTGTTTTCTTTTTGTTGACATTTGGGAATAAAAATTATGAAAACGTTAGTCCCATCATAACAAAGCTATAGGTCAATTTAATGTTTTGTTTCAAAAATAAAACATTAAAAAAATTGAATTTTGGTCTGGTTTCGTTTTTCTATTTGAACTCTTTTTTCTTATATGCGCGGATATATCAGTTATATTAGGCGATATCAAAAAATTGAACTGTGCTTAATCTATTATATATAATATATTAACTACTATTCAGATATATATAATATATATGCATCTGCTCCAAATCAATTGTCAAACTAGATACATAGGTACCCCCAGAACTAAATGCTAGACACCGTGTACTGATATGTATAAGTCTGTGCTGCTCAAACAAGGATTTAAAAGTTTTGGCTTATTTCAAATTAGATACTATAGACAGAGAACTAATATTACCAATTTATCTCACATTCCAAGTCTGAGGACTAAAAATATACAAAAGACAACAGAATTACTGCAACTAAATGTCAATTCAAAAAAAGATGAAATCGAAAGTCTGAAAAAATTGGGTTTTGATTTAGACAATACCACTTTAGATGACGATGGTAATGGAAATTCTAACTTTGATGATATTTTAATAGAATATTTGAAATTCACAAGTTCTGTTTATAAAAAAAGTACAAAGAGTTTGAATAAATTGAAATTACAACTAAAAAATGCTGATCAACTCGAAGGCAAAACAAAATTGAATATTTTGATAGATTTTTTACTAAATGAATTTAGAATTGAAATTAATATTTATGAAAGAGAAGGAATCAATGGTCTTGAAAAAATGCGTCAATATAACTCAGATATCGCAGAATTAAATAAAGATATAGACGATGAAAATTATTTACTATCTCAATTGTTCAAAACTTCGGAAAATATTCAAGATGACAACACCAGCAACAATGGAAGTTTATTCAATAATGCAAACTTTATTTTTAATATTTTATCAAATATTAAAAAGGAAATTAAATTACCTTATATCATCAACGAGTTACCAATTCCTGTGGAACAAATAGCTGAGATTTTTGAGATTTCAAAACAATTACCACTCGAATCAGATAGCATGAAAGGCATATATCTATCTGGTAGTATCTTATATGGAACCGGGAAAATTAGAATGGATCCAGTAAATGAATCATTTTATATCAATTCATTAGTTAAATTTAAGAAATATGATCAAGCTTTACAACTTTTCAATTCTAGAAAATTAGAGATAAATCAAAGGTGGTGGTACGAACTTGGAATGACTACTGCTTTGAAAAGTAATAATATCAATACATTTGATAAATTACTTATTGAAACCGATAAGAATTTTAATACTAATTCTTATTTGAAACCAAATATTTTAACTTTAGCTGTAAGGAAAAAAATTCAACTTGGAAATTTAAACGTGGTTGATAAATTGATGGATAGATTCATTAAATGTTTACAAAATTTTGGTTATGATAATGTTGACTCTCCAAAAAAACCATTTATTCAGTTTAATGATGAAGATCAAGCAAACGAATACCTGAATGCAATGGTAAAACCAAATGTATCTGATATGGCTATATTGTTATCATATCTAATGCATAGGAAAAATTTAGACAAAGCAATACAATTGATTGAAACTATTATAGCTTTACCTAATTTGAGAAAAAATGACCTAGTATTTGTAATCAAATATAACAAATTAAACCTATTGAAGAATTCTGCATTATTAACTGATCGTATTTCAAAAAATTACATTAATAGAGATAAAGAAGCTAAAGCTACTTTGAAAAAGTTTGAAAAAGTGTTAAGTGAGTTAATCGAAGAAACATATTCTAATTCAGTTTATAAGGATTTTTTCTACGAATCATTCGAGTCTCTTTCTGAAAATCCAGTTCTTACTTCCATGCTACATGATTTTATAACAGAGTATCCATTAAGTGCTTCAAAGTTTAGCGATTCCCCTGATAGACTTCAACAATTATTCAAATTCCTATTAAAAACAGATTATTACAATAAAGCTATGAAATTATTAAATAAGGTAGAATATCTAAATTCTAGCCAAAATGAGAACTCAAAGGAAATTGACACATCTTCTAACAATTCGTTAAGTGCTATTCATTATGGTGAGTTTTTGGATTATTATTTAACTAAATCAATTAATGGCTATAAAAGAAAATCAAAAATTTATAATGATAAAGTTGGTGAACTAGTTGAAAGAATGGAAAAAAACAATATAACTATCGATTTTGAATTTGTTTCCAAACTATTAACGTTCTACCGTCAACATAGAGATTTCAATAATTGCTTCAAGATCATAAATCAAATTCTTTCAGCAAAATTAGAAGACCCTAAAGATAGTGAGGTAATTGATGAAATTCCAACTGAATTGTATATGGAGATCTGGGAATGCTATAGAAGTTACTATAAATACTTTATTGATGTAGGAGAAAATATGAATCCAAAAAGTAACTCCAATTCATGGAACACGATTGTAAAAAAGACTACAGAGGACACATTTGTTCACCCAACACACTCATGTAGGGAACTATTTAATTTGTTAGTACATCAAGATGAAATATTACCAAGTGAGAAGTTTTATAATGTCATTATTAAAACTATGCTCAGTGGAAACGATTTTGCCTCTCTCCCACCTATTTTAATCTTTATGTATGAGGTTCATGGAATTGTCTTGGATAAAAAGATGTCAAAATTCGTAATGAAAGGTTTAGAAAGGGCATATATCAATAGTCATCTTAGATCAAAAGGAGCATCTGTAGATGTGAATAAAAATTCTCTGGAAAATGTTACGAAGCATATTAAACAAATTAAAGAGAGTGGTAAAATACTTAAGGATATCCAAGAGGATGATATACCTAATTTTAAAATATCGGAAGAGGTCATTAGACTTCTGAAACACCATAAAACTGATGTTATACCTGAAAAAGAGGTAATATCAGCTGCATCTTCAATGAACATAGATAGTCCCTTATTAAGGGATATACTTAAACCTGTAAATAATCTGCATTAAATTACATAGTAATATATTTACTTTTTGCCTAATTTCAACCATTTTGGAACCTTACCCGTAGATGTCGAGTTCCCTGAAGATGATTTTGCATTTGGTTGATTGGTTTTAACTGTATTACCAACATGAGTGGAGCTTTTATTATTATCCAATTTCACATCATCTGCTTCTTCAATGTTCTTGGCGTTTGAAACTAGTGCCTTTTTAATAAATGGACCTTTGCCATCTGATTCAAATAATAGTAGGGTTTTTGCAACAAATCCTAACGTTTCAGTCAATTTATCATCATTATTTTCTAAAAGTTTATAAGGATGTGATAATCGAAGTATAAATTCTGTTTCTTCATTTATCAAAGATCCTTTCACTATACTGTAAACTGTAGCCATGGTATCATCCGGTTTAAAAGCTACTTCAATATGAGTTCTATCAGGAAATCGTACCCTAATTACGCAATCCACAATTTTAGTTTTCTGTGGTAACCCTTGTCTTTCATATTGTTCCCTTAATCTTTTAGTCAACAATGGTCCACCAAGTGTACCTGCCTTTCTTGATACAATGTGTTGGTATATTTTGGCATGATCTATTGTCACTTTTAATTCGTCTTCTTCGTCTCTATTTGCCAATTCTGAAATGTGCGAAACGTTGGAAGGTACATATACGGAAACTTTATGAACCTCACGATGTTTACTAACATCTTCCATTTCAGCATTCATAGATGTTTCTTCCTCTTTGGTCTGAATAACTTTTGCTACATCAACTTCTGGTTTTTCAGTCTTCGAAAGAGATTTGACGCCACCAATATTTAACCTAAGAGATGTTGGTGTAGAGATACCTAAAGATTCCAACGAATGGGCTTCAAGTTCATCATATCTCAATACTTTACTGAAAACTTGTAAAGAAACAGTGTCTGGATCTAAATCCCAATCTTGATCTTGTGCAAGTGTATTGATTACTTTTTTCAAATTTTCTTTATTATTAACACTTAGAACCAATGGCTGAGACCCTGGAACTTGTAACTTTATTTTCAACAACTTTGGTTCATCAGTTCCATGAACCTTCGATAAATTTGGCTTTTTGTCTAACTTTAATTTAACACCAACTGGTAAATTTAAAAATACAAATGGAATGTCCAATGCAATTGGGATATTTGCATGGAGCAAACACCATTTAGCAGCTTCATGATCTTCAGTGATCAATTTAAAGTACTGAAGACTTTGTAGCAGAACCCCATTTAAAGATGCATTTGGTGAAACTTTTGTCCTTAAAGTATCAAAATGGTACGTGATTGTAACCGATGACATATTTCACCTTCTGTAATCAATAGAAACTCTAGGAAAAAAAAAGGACCAAACCTATAAAGTTCTAAGCTTGAATACACTGCCACTCCAATGTTTTAGACCTTTTATCCAAGCAAATGTACCCAAATTTATAATGATTAATAATAACTTTTAATACCTTCGAATTTAAGCTCTTGCTTGGCTTTTAAAGCCTTTAAAGGTTTCCCTCATCTCAAACCACGTGACCTTTTCTTTCGAATCAGGCGATAAGGATATTAAAACAAATAATTCGATGATGTGAAACTAATTAAGGTTAAAAGAACGTTTAAAGATTGATATATTGATATATATTGGGACTTTGGTGCTAGTGAATCCATATTCAAGGTTCACATAATTGCTGAATTTACCAGATTGATATTTTTAGTAGTGGTGATCCCGTATTCCAAGAACGTTTCGAGGGATTATATCACTAATAGCATAAGATACAGCAGTTTATAATAAAACATAGGAATAAGGATAAAGATAATACTAGGATAAAATATAATAAGGTTATAAGATAGCATTGGTTTTTTTTCAAGTTTACATAAGGTATCTAAAATTTAGACTGATCTTTGGCTAGTGAGACGCTTTTCAAGGGAGTGATAGAAATATAAAATGTTTAGCAACCCTTCAACTAGGTTGAGGGATGCTATTATTGAAGGAAACCTGCTGATTGTGAAGAGATTACTTCGACGGTTCCCTGAACTTTTAACAAATATCGATTCAAGTAATGGTTGGAGCTCTCTACATTATGCTTCATATTATGGTAGATATTTAATATGTGTTTTTTTAATTCAAATGGGTCATGATAGACATGAAATTCTTAAAACTTTTGATGGAGACACCTGTGTTCATTTAGCTTTAATGAATGGTTACGAGCAAACAACACATTTATTATTGCAACATTTCCCTCAATTTATAGATAAGAAAGGAAGCTTTGGTAGAACTCCAGCACATATTGCTTGTATGCATGATTACCATCAATGTTTGAGTTTGTTGGTTGGTGTTGGGGCAAAATTATTTTTACCTGATTGCAATGGAGATACACCTTTACACATCTGTCTTGAGTTTGGAAGTGTTAACTGTATGAGGCTTTTGGTGCTGGAAACCGAAAATATCGATGATCAGATAAGAAATAACGATAATTGGCGACCTAGTGATGTTGCTATCACCTTTGAAATGATGAAATTATATAAGAAGTTATTAAAAGAATCTAAAGCATCAGGGGTTACTAAGAAAACAAGCTTACAGTCATTTAGAACTCCAATCCTACCACAAAAAACTGCATTTGAAGATGGTCCATCTCCTATTTTAAGCATCAATTCACCTTCTTTAGCATTATTTTCTCAATCTAATCAACTACCACCGTTACCAAGAATTTCTACAAGCAGGAAATCTTCATTTGCCAATAATGCTAAGTCACCTATAGTTAGAGATACAAGTTTCATATCCATGTTAGCATCGGTGGACACATCTTTAAGTAGTCCAATAAATTCAGTACCTAAGAAGGATTATAACATAACTAATCCAATAGAGAGAAATTCTACTGAAACTTCGTCAGAAATATCACCTCGTAAGAACGATTCGAATGGATCTAAAGAAAAATTAGAAGCAGATACTGGTTTATCTAATACAATTATGCAAAGTGCAAGCAATTCTAATTTATTTAGCAGGTACTTGAATTTAAAGCACACCAATGAGAATGACAATCCAGTTATTACGCCGGCGGTTAGTGATCATAGACCAGACACTAGGAAGGGTCAAATCTTGACCAGTAGTTCAACTAATAATAGCTTTTTATCTACACCAAGAAGAAAATTATCGTTATTAAACATCCCAGTGTCCAAATTAAGGGAAGACAAAAAATCAAACAGTGAACATGAGAAAGCTAGGTCCTCATAATTAAAATTTTCATTCATAGACATTCATACATATATATACATAGATATATCACCTATTATAATAATCGAATACAAATACGATATTTATAAGGCTTTTCTTATTTTTATACAGATAAAAAAAATAAATAATGAACAGAGAGGGATATGAATATATATAAACGTAATTAGTAACAACGTGATTGATTCCAGGAGATTTTAGAAGATTCATAAATTAACGAATTCTTAAACTCCATGTAGATTTTACTAGAATGAAAAGACAAAAATTTCCAATCCATACGACACTATTTCAATTATTTTTTAGCAGAAGCAAAATCAATACCCTTTTGAATGTTCTTCTTCAAAGTTTCTTTACATTCTTCCAACATTTGTTCTTCTTCAGCAGATACAGCACCAATTGGATGGACCTTTTCGATACCGTTAGCACCTAAGGTGACTGGGGAAGCGAAGAACTCGATACCTTCAGACTTGAATAATGGTGAGTCAACGAAAGATGGTTCAACAACATCCTTTTCACCAGCGAAACCACGTAAAACGGAGTTAGCAAATCTTGACCCAGCCAAAGCCATGGATAAAGTAGCGGAACCAGCACCATTCTTAGCCTTGACGACTTCATCACCACCGAATTGAATTCTGTGGATCAAAGCTTTCTTTTGATCTTCTGGAATGCTTTGATGTTGAGTTTGAGATAACAATGGGATGATGGTAATACCGGAGTGACCACCGACAACGGTGACCTTTTCATTTGTTGGATTGGTACCAACGACTTCAGAGATGAATCTTGAAGATCTAATGACATCTAAAGTGGTAACACCGAACAATTTCTTTGGATTGTAGACACCTTTGCTCTTCAACACTTCAGAAACAATTGGTACAGTTGAGTTAACTGGGTTAGAAATGACCAAAACAGCAGCGTTTGGAGCAGCATCAGCTACAGCAGATGCCAAATCACGAACAATTCCTGCATTAATCGAGAATAAATCATCACGAGTCATACCAGGCTTTCTTGGAACACCAGCTGGGATAATAACCAATTCCGTATCCTTTAAAGCATTATGTAAACCATTTTCATCTTCAGGAGTGAAACCATTCACAGTAGAATTGGTTGGGATATGAGATAAATCAGCAGCTACACCTTTAGCACCTCTTAAATCATATAACCTTAAATCAGTGACTTTTTCATTCAATTTCATCAATAAGGATAATGGTTGGCCAATACCACCAGCAGCACCTAAAATACTGACCTTGTAAGGATTAACTCTTGAAATTGAAAAGGCACGTTTAGAAACAACTCTTGATAGCATTCTGACTATGAACAATGATTTGATTTTGTAGTTTGTTGAAGTATGAATTGAATTGATCGGATAATCAATCTATTTTATTTTATTCTTCTTTTATTCTTCTTTTTATATATAACAATAGATTCCTAACTGAAAGTTTAATTCAATCAAAGGATTCTAATCAAAAGAAGGGGGGGGGGTGATTGGAATAGAGGGGGGGGGGGTAAAGCTAGAAAGGAGAAACTGAAATGCTCTTGTTGAACTTAATTTAATTTAATGAAATCAGAAGGATATAAAATAATTACACCAACTAATCAATTCTTTTATTCTTGAGCTTTGTTTTTGCTTAATTGTTAAGGTTACAAACAGAATCAAGTAATATATAATGCAAACTGTTTCTTACGAAGAGTAGATGAATTGACAATATTTCCACAATTGAAGGTCTTAGTTGCTCTTTTATATTAAAAAAGGATGAAAATTTCTGGGAAAGGGCCTGAGTCTTGGTGTTGGTCTTGATGGGAAAATTTTTTGAATTTGGTTTGATTTGAGCTTTGAATCAAAGGGAAGTTCTTGTTTGAATCCTTTAAAGAAAGGATGATATTATAATTTACGGGAAGTTTCTGATTGGTTCGGAATTGCGAAAGGTTTGTTAAGTTTTGGGATGTTTTGTTTGTTGGATAGGAGTGATGGATGTAGTTCTTATTATGATCAGTTTATTTTACTTTTTGGTCTGGTCTGGTCTGGTCTGGTCTGGTCTGATATTTATTTCTTTTCGATGTATGACTGGAGAAATGGTTCAATAAAATCCCTTGTTGGATTTTAAGTATGAGGTCTTTTTCATGTGAAATTAATTAGTTTTAGTTTATTGTCTTGCTATTTATTATATTGTTATATACTTTGCAAACAAAATAGTTACTTACATAAGGGTCTAGCTTGCTTGTGTATTGCTTATTGATGACGTTAAATCTTGTTTTTGTTCATTAAAGTTGGTGTAGAAAAGTCGTGAGTGGATTGGATTGGATTGGATTGTGTTGTGGAATTTATTTCCTCTATTGTGGAGCTGATGACGAGTCAACCTGCTTATCAACTTCTTCAAACATGTTATCGACACTTAGTCCACAGTACAATTTCAATTGACGTCTTGTCGATGGGATCAACTTGACTCTCACTTTAACATTCGGATCGTTTAACTCTGTTGATAGCCTGTCATAAGCTTGGAATCTGTGACAACCACCAAATGCAAAATAAAAACTCTGTCCATTTTCTCTTACACACATCACATCGATAGGTGGCAGTTCACCATTGAAATCTGTAGCTTGTTCCAACGAACAAGTTTTACTTGCCATTGGCACACCTTTCATAGTCGAAACCATAGCATCGATTTTTTGGTAGTCCAAAACTGGTGCAATTGGTCTTCTTATCTGTGATAAAGGTAGTTCTGTAACTTTTAAATTACTGCTTTGCATAGACATTTTTTATTCTTGGTTGATTAATATTACTTTATTCTTGGTTTGGTTTTCTCAGTTCTACATGATAGAACAAACTAATAAAAATATACTTCAAGGAGACAACTACAAACTAATTTACTTGCTTTATATATGGTTGATTAACCAGAAAATTACAAACACACACGCTTCTCACTAAAGCTAGCCTTAGTATCTTAAATTGCACCATCAAACACATATACAATATTCAATAAGTACATCTAGTTCGTATTAATCATCATCATCTTCTATGAATTCGTAATCATTAAACAGTCTAGTTTATATTCCATTACAAATACAACTACAACTACAAATACAATTACAAACTAGATATACACCTTAAAAGAAAACTCAGTGTGAACAATCGGAACTAGTATCATTAGTCAATGTATCGAACTGGCCAGACATTATTAATTAAGTGGGAGTTCGGGACTTTGGCATTTTACAAACATATAAGGATTACGAACATAATTCCAGTTATGTCCAGCTTGATCCGGGTTGCTTCTCATAATTAAATTCGTCATCACGTTGCTGGGCACAGTCAACTAGACTAAGACCAAAGCTTTGAATCCCAGTTCTTGTTCCATCATATATGTGCTCCCAACAAGGGATCGATTACACTTGCAATTACGTTTACAACTTTTCTTGATCAAAATGGTTAACAACTGACAAAAAGGATAAACCTAAAAGTCCATTTCATTAGACTCCGATTTATTTAATTAACCAAGACAGAATCCAACTCAGGTAATACAATTACGATTACAATCCAGACAGAGAGTGTGTGTGTTCACATCTACCCTCTTGTATCTTCAATTACATAAACCAAATGGAATAATCGATAGGCAACCCATACAATTACGTTGTAGTGTTGCACATTCCCTCTTAATACATATATATAAACGAAAGAAGCATAGAATACTGGCTTATAGAACAGTAATGCCCCTCCTCCCTCCAATGTACATTAATGGACCCATCCCACTTCCTCCCCTCCATATCCGTCAAGAGCTTGCAACAATAACAACATGTTTCACTCCTCTTGATTGCGATGTTGGTATACTTATATACATATACATACACATATACATAATTCGAGTGTCGAAATGGACTAGAATGGAATTGTTTCGTTGTTGCAAACACTAGCATGTCCTACCTTTTACATCCACAATTATATCTTGGCTACCCTCTTGGACAGTGAGGGTCTGGGGTTATCCCATCAAATGTAAGTTACAAGCAGTCACGTTGCCTTCACTAGCAACTAACAGACTGATCTTAAAGCCTTTGATTGATCTTGTTCTTGTTCTTGTTCCCATCAGTGGGAGGGACTCTTTATACTATACTGATGCCATAGTTAATTTTTCATCTTGATATCAAATTCTTGTAGTGGACAAGGTGAAAAAAAACTAAGATTGCAAAATCAAAGCTAACAATTGTAATGCTACAGGTGTGCACTTGAATGATATAAGAGAGATCTGAATATTGGATTGAAGCTGGACAAAGATCTTGGGTCACATCAATTGCAAGTTATTGGGATTGTTGGTTTATTATATATCAATTGAGACAAGAGCTTTTGGTATTTCGAAGAGTATTGAAATTGTTCTCTTTATTTGGCTGTAACTATTAATACCAAATTCGATTTTACTTTAGTTTACTGACTTAGGTTACATCGAGAAATATATACACATATACACACATATACACATACATATACACATATTCAAGAAGCGTGTTCGTTTGGAATTGATGAAACTTTTAAACTTATGTTTCGGGCTCTCTTCTGCA